ACAACAAAGAATAAATATTATGTCTGACTATTCCCATGTCTTGCAATCACTTGGTGATTGCAGAAGTCCAGCCATAAGTTATTGATTAACAAAGGATGGAAAGTTACGATGTAGGAGTGAACTGACCTTGGATTCATTGGATTCTCAACAGCACAGAGATCAGGTCTGACATTAAAGCCATGTTCAATACGACCGATAGTGAATGGAAATGCCGCTCCTGCAAGAAAACATTAAAAAAAAAAAAAGAAAGAAAGAAAAAAATACATATGAAGGAAAAAAAGGCTAACTTTGTATAGAAGATATTCTTTAAAAGTGATCATCCTACAAGAGTACAGCCTGCGTAGCTGGCGGAATAGACCTTTTTAGCTTGTATACTTTGTTTTCCTAATTCAGACCACGGGATGTTCTCCAAGGAATTTCAGTAATTATGCATACATATGCACGTGGATTCACGTGCATAAGACAACATTTGAAAGAAAAAGTTGTCTGGGGCATCATTATGTTGTCTGAAATGGGAAAACAAAACAAACAAGCTAAAAAGTCTTTTGTTTTTGCGTGCATGCAAGTTTTGGCGGCGCGAAGCCGCCACTCTCGCGGCTCAACCGCAAAAAAGAAAAATGTGCCTCATTCGCATTCTCCGCACGTTGCGTGAATGATCCCGCCGGCTACGCAGACTAAGGGCCTGTTTACATGGAGGTGGGGCACCCCAGGTAGATAAGGTAACTGGCTTAGGTGGGGTAGCCCGCCTGTCCATATAATCTCTCATTTTAATTTAAACATGTGTACATGATAGGTGGGTTGACCCGCCACATGTTATCTCACCTATTTGGGTTCTCTTACCTCCATGTAAACAAGCGCTAACAAGAGTTACAATGTTATGTACATGTACAAGCATGTGATAAGGCAAAAAATGTGCTTGATAAAATTATTGTATACCTCCATGAGCAAAACACACTTTGAATCTTGGATATCGTTCCAGAACACCACCAAAGATCATGCAACAGATCGCCTGTGCAGTTTCAGCAGGCATTCCTGCAAAAGCAACAAGGTCAAGTTTACCCCTGAAACCCTAATACTAACATGCATAATATACATTATTTAAAATATTATACTTTTAAAAATCTATTAAAGGCTGGGGAGAGGTCAAAGGTCAAGGTAACAGTGCTTTACGTCGGTAACAGTACTCAAGTCATCAGAATGACAAACCTGATGCCGGCGGTGCTCTATTTTACCCCCTTCTCTGAATCAGTGACTCGTTTTACAGTTATTAAAAAGGATTTCGAAATGACCTCTGGGTTCAAACCTTTCAAAATTTTAACTTGTGTTGAAGATTCCATAAAATTGGGTTTCATTCAGACAAAATCTTCCACTGCACAAGCCATCCACTTCAACATGTACATTAGGAAGTAAATTTTGAATGGTTCCCTTGAAAAAAACTCCAGCGCTAGCCTTGCAACAGAGTTATATGCTTCAGGGTTATAAGCTTCTGGTACAATACATTTACTTACCAACAAGCCATGGCAACCAGTACTTGGACATTCTTCCTCCTAACTCCATATCCCATGGATGAACAAAGATAGCACAGCCTAATTCTTCAGCAGCCTACATGAAATAGACATGATGAGAAATGCAATGTAGAAGCATATTCAGGATATCAGGGAGAATGGGTGCGGAGTGCAGGTTATGTTACGGGTCAAATTTGATTTGAAGTTAAAGTTTTTAAACCAAGATTATTCTCACTTTTCTTTGAGGACCGTGTGAACCAATGTACATGAGATTAAAGGCAAATTAACCTGCTAGATAATGATATAAAAATGTGGTACACTGTCTTGGACTATATATCATGTCATCTCCCTTGGCCTTGTTTAGACCTACATATGCTACCAGCATGCAAAGAAAGTCATGTGCGATAGCCCGGGGCTAGTGGATTTTGCCATCGGGCTAGTGATTCTTGTTTTTAACTTGCCCAATGGACAAGTGCTGTTTTTCAGGGAAATTCATATTACAGAAGGATTGTATTCAATCCTGCTAATCAAAAAGGGTTTTATTTGGGGCTAGTTGAAATGACTTGTGGGCCAGTAAATGCTAGCTACAGCTTGCCCCAATGGCAGGCTGTAAAACTGACTTTCTCTGCACCCTGATGCTACATAGTACAGATGAGCAAGTGAAATCACAGGCGGCCCAAGCTCAGTGTGTGAGTTTAATCGTTAACACATGCACCCCATATTGCGTAATTTAAAATGGCGGTGAATATAAAGGATTTGTATGGGAATTCAGGTAAAAGATTCAAATCGATAAATACTCGCTAGAATGTTCAATAAAATACAGCTTACCGAGTTTACTTTGCTTGTTTTTGTTTGCTGTGTGGTTATTTTTCCTATCCATTGCGATTTAAGCGATTTCCTTTAACAACAAAAAAAAATAACCACACAGCAAACAAAAACAAGCATAGAGGCCGAGAAAAATCGGCCGATTTCGTGGCAAAAAAGTCAAATTTAGACTGTTCACAGTCCCCTATTTTTTCGTGAGATATACCGCGTCTTACCGTCACTGGTATCTTGATTTCGTGAGATATACCGCGACTTACCGTCACCGGTATCTTGATTTTCAAATGCCCGTAACGCAAAGCGCTCGATTTCGATGATCTTACGGAAGAATAGAGGACTGTGAACAGTCTAATTTTGACTTTTTTGCCGCGAAATCGGCCGATTTTTCCGCGAATTTGGACTTTTTTTCCCGCCAAAATCCCGCGAAATCGGCCGATTTTTCCGCGAATTTTCCCCTGAAAATCCCGCGAAATTTTGCTTTTTTTTCCGCGAAATATCAGAAGCCCTGAATTGAAAGGTGTATCAAAATTAGTTGTCTGGTAAAACTTTAGATTTTCAAAAACAGTATAGCACTGCTAAACGGTAAAATCTTTCAGAAAAAAATACAAGTAAAAAGTTAGTTATAAATATAACAATAATAATTCATTACAATTTGACAAATGTATTAGGCCTGGCGCACGCTACTTAATGTGTACATGGCTAAAAATCTCACATCATTATTTTTTTATTTTTTTTATTTTTTTTTTTGGCTCTTTAACATGTATGAACTTACTAAAACTCAGATTGTATCAATATTTGGCAAGAAGTTCAAGTTTAAGAACAGCTTTCCATTGAATTTTTTTTTTTCTGGCTGTTACACCAAAACATAATTAAAATATGAAAAATCATGGCTTAAAATGGGATCATTTTGCATAACATTTACAGTCTAACCACGCATATTGTGGGATTTCTCTGTTTTTGTTAATTTTACATTGAAAATTTTCTCCACAGAGGTCAGTGATCTTATGAGTACTAACTGCATTTAATAAACATATACTGAACATAATAACAAAACAACAAAGTTTAGGACGTTTCCAGAAAGATGTTCTGTCTATATCCGATCGATCTCTGTGCAGCCTGACATTAATTTGAAAAATTGGTTTTGATTGACCCGCTTTTGTTGTGAAGAGGAGAAATAATAATTTTTGGAATGCTCGTAAGTTAAACCTTCTCTATAGACTAGCTGTTAAAGCTTCGGGAAACCCCATTATTTTTTTATGCCGAAGATCAAATATCTAAGGTTGGAAAGAATTTTTTAATGTGAAAATTCCCCAGGGGGAGGAGGGGTACTCCTGGCAGTTCTTGGTGGTTGGGTGCCGCTGGTTCATTTTCCAAACCCGTTTTCAGACCAGACCTCTAAAACCCATAACCGTTTTCAGACCTGTCCTTTAGGCAGAAATTGTGTTTATATCATTACTTAGATTATAACGCAAACTAAAAAATTCTTCAAATCCATTCTGAATTCACATTTCTCTTTCTTTCTTACTCAACTGGAATTGAAACGATAAGTACGTTCAAATGAGTCAGTGCAAGTGATACTTGATTATGATAATTAAAAGATGTTGAATAAACTCGAATCGGCTGTCTAGTTTTGTGAACGTATTAATTAGTTAAAATTGCCTCGATGGCTAACTTATAACAGGACGTTTGGAGTTTAAGATAAACTGGTTTGCAAGGCTCCATGTAAAATGACAACTGTATGACAACTGTATGCTGAACGAACAATTTGAAATCGTTTGAGTTAAATTAAGCCTAGTTTAAAAACCTGGGTAAGTTTTTTTCTACATGAAGTTTATTTAAGATGAGAATTAATTGAGAATTGGCATGAGATTGTATTTTGCGATGTTAGGTGTTGGCAAGAGAAGTTTGTGGTGCGCTGGTTTTACTGATCCGCCCAAACCATCCGGGTGGTATCGCAAATATATAGGGAACAGAACAATAGAGGAGACGTCAGCCAATCAGAAAATACTGACGTCACTATAACTGATAAAACTGATTGGACAATACCGATTCTTTTATCTTTATTGTTCGTTGTGTGATTTGAAATGGCAAAGGGAAGTACCTTTGATACAACTTTTGCTGGCCTTCTCGCTTAGTTAAAACTTTTTCTAAGAAATCGAAGTTCTTGGAAAGAAACGACATTCTGATCGTCGATGCAGACATTCCCAGATTCATTAAACGGTGACGTTTATATCTATTCTCTTAACTTTGCGACATATATTATAATAATATCTAATTCTTCCTCGTTTTGGTGAGGCAAGTAAGCTGCGTTTATTCTTTTAAATTCTAATCGGATGAACCGATAAACTGTGAACATCAAATCATAATATAAGAAAGAAAAATCATCGACTGTTTTAGCGGACCTGTTCATTTATAGTTTACTGGACCGTTAGCGCGTAAACAGAACGACGAAAACTGTACTGATAGTTTTTTTTTTGTTTTCTTTTGGTGTACACAAAGACTGTAACGTTTGAATTAACCACTGGTTCTAAGCTACAGAAGAGAAAACGACATGTAAATGAAGAAATTAAACAACGAGCTAACATCGCAAAACGCGTTGGTTATCACCAAACCAAAATTGATTCACAGTGCAGTGTTTATGTTTTTTTGTGCGAGTTTGTTTTTAAAATTCATAAAAACGAAACATTAAAGGCGAGTGATAACATCCTTTGTTTTACATAAAAAGTAAAAATGCAAATTGTTATTGTGGTTGCGGAAACCATTGTTGGTTAGGTGTGGTTGGTGGTGAGCTTAAAACAAGACTTACTATTATTTTGTATGTTTTACTCGTTATTTTAAAAACTGCCCACGCGAATAGACGTTCTTTTACTGTCCCTGCTTTAGCATTATTCGTTTACGGCCGAGGCAAAGTTTCTGACATCCTTTCCAACCACTGGCATTAGCATTGTGACTTGTGACATGGTGCTGACCGTACATTTTTTTTTTCCCGTTTAATTTTTGGCTCAACATTGTGCCTTCGTTTCTTCTTTTAATAGGGAGCTCAAGCAAAGACATTCGACCCACGTCAATAGGAAGAGAGACCTTTTCCTTTGTTAATATCCCATGAAAACCAAATTTTTTTCTAGTACAACTAAGTGTCTTTCGTCTTATAGAACACTTTTCCCGATAATTTGGGTTTGATGCCATTCTATGATACTGCTCGGCAGAATACAATACTGCCCAAGGCTGCAAAAAGTGGCTTTCGGTTGACGTGCGTCCTACTCAAAACGTCTTTGCTCTGCAAGCTTGCTATTAAAATGTTGAAGCCTTTTTACCAGGCTTTTCCAGCTTTGCTGAATAATATCATGAAGACAGTTACACCTCCACTTCTCCTTCTCACTTGATCTCCTAAACCTGCGTCAAGGAGCCTGAATTCGCTGTAATCCCGTTCACGCTCGTCGTCTTCATATTCCTTGGAAACGTAGTTCGAGTTAGCGAGGAATTTGAGTTATTAGGGTAAATTTCAGTAAAGTTATGATCAAGGGAAAGGAAATTTAGTTCGAGTTAGCGAAGAATTCTAGTTGTCCCAGTCAATTATCGAGGTTCTACTGACCGTATAAACTGGCCGTAAACTGGCCAACTCTAGTTTACGGAAGAAGTAGCGGGCACATCTTCGAATTCGACTACATATAAAATGATAAAAAAAGTTATTGAACCCTATTATCACGGCAAGATATCGTCATTTGTTGGAGCTTCTCACAGGTCAATTCTTTTCTTCAGCCTTCGGCTTTGGCAAGTGGTATTTCGTTTAGCAGCGCCCAAGAATTAACAATTTATTAAGTCACTTCAGATGGTAGTATCTCCGAGAACAATTATCTGTTAAAAAACAAATCTACTCTTAATTTATAATTAAAGGCATGCACCAGACGAGAAAGATTGCAACGAAAGCTTAGGGCAGAAAAAAATGCCATATAACATTATTAAGTAATAGTGTCGGCAAACTAGAGGATGTTTGTTTATAATCAGAATCTAAAAGCTTTTTTGTCTTCAAATCTTTTTGTCAGCAGATCTCATTTTTGCTACAAAATCAAGCGTTCTAAGATGATCGCCTCGTGCCTACCTTTGCCCGCGAGCAAAAGCAAAAATCAGAAACAAACAAAAGTAAGTAAATGACACCTGTTTTACAGGCTAGAACAAGAAGCATACAAAACTACACCCGTTTTTATAAATAACGAAGTATCATCCCTTTCGCAAAATGGCCAATTCAATTTTAATTGAAGACCCGGGGGATTCCCTTGCTTCTTTAGCCTAAAAGGTTACGTGCTACTGAACAACAGGAAGTTGGTTCTAAGGTTTCACTATAGTGAGTCTCAAACAGGGTCAACTAATTCACCATTTAGCCTCTTTAACGAGGTGATTTTTGGACAAGATGCCTTTTAAAGAGTGTGAAAGTTGGGCCTATATTTGTGCTATGAATAATCCTATTGTAGAATTACCTTATGTTCGTTTAAAAAATGCCTAATTCTGTTTGCGAAACGAAATGAGTTAGGGTCATAAAATAATGTCTCTTTGTCTTGAACAGGGTACGGGTCAGGTTGCTGTAAATATCAAGTCTAATTACCACGAAAGAAAACAAACAACTTTCGTCTCTTTCTTAGTATCTGTTGGTTGTCGCGAAAGGACACGCCATTTTGACGCCCGTCCTAAAACAGCCGGTGCATAGCTAAGGAATGTTCCGAGTTGCGGTAGCCAATCGAAGCATGCGAAAATGGCTAGCCACTGAAAATAGCTAAACATCTACCCCTCCTCAGGGTCGGTGCATAGCGCTAAAAAGACTCGATCGACGCTCATTGCGTCCCGGTTTATCTCGACCATTATTTACCGCCTCTTGGGAAGACAGTTGTGCAACTGTTTCGATACGAAATAAATTAAAATGGCGTAAGTAGGTATAAGTAACAGCTTCATTAATGTGTCAATGTAATAAGTTTTCACAACTAATTGGGGACACAGCAAAAAAGTTAAAATTATTTACAAATAAGAAAGAATGTAATACAATCAAAATATCATGATATCAAACGCCGCAGTCTCAATGGTACACCAACTTTTTGACTTGCTTTTATGGTAAAGTTACTGATATTGGTGAATTTAAGCGAATAAATTATATTTTTTCTTTTCTGTAAACGGTATAGTGACATCAAACGTCTTCAGTAATGCAAGAGGAAAATTAATTTTGCTAACGATTCAGTTTTGTTTTCGGCTTGACCTATTTCTAGAGCTGAAAGGTAACGACGTCGTCAAGCAAGCACTAAGGCAAACTGCTTTTATCTCTATTCTTTTAGAACAGTTCAATTTACTTCTTATAGATATTTAAACTATAGTTTAGGGTCAGGTGACCAACGAAATTCGGTGATTCTTACGCCTTCTCGTTAGTTGTGAAAGGTGGTTTGTATGCAGTTATCACTATAATTAGACTGCAAGAAGCCTTGGGTTTCTAAGCCATGTTGTTTGACACCTAGGCTTAGTTCCTTTGTTTATTTTACGCGTATTCTTACTTGGCAAAGGCGACTATTTACTATAGCACAAGCGTTTTTGAATCTTCCTCCTTGGGTTTCCTCCGACCCAGATTTTAAATCAGAGGAGCTCTTATGAATCGACGCGCGTAGCACCGAGTTGTCTCTACTGATCATCTTATATCCAACAGTTAAAAAAAAAATAAAAGCGAGAGTGGAATAATTGTTTTATTAAAAACGCCAACAAAATATCGAGAATTCTTCCCAACTTTATTAACATCCGATATTCAGCTTGTTTTTAATTTTGAGCAGACAGCACAGTTACCATGTTTAGAAAGAATGGTACAATGGGTCATATACTGATGGCTAAGCTTATCAGAGCTCTAGAATTGCATTATCCAATGATCCAGTTTGTTATACGCTGGTGCTCTTTTATCATAAGTGCAATGTTTTTTTGGATATTCTAACCTTTTATTAGTTCACCTCCGGCTGGAGCATCGAAGAAACGTTTTTTCGTCTAGGATGGTAGAACCGACTGCTCTCCAAGGGCGATGTTGCTATCAGGCTAAGATAAAAGTGTCAGTATTTTCAAGGAAACCATCAAAAACACAGAAAAAAAAGATGAAGTCGTTGTATTGATGGATATTTAAAAAACGCACACAGAATTAAAGTCTTGCTGAAACAAATGTAAACTGTACTCTTGTTGACGGACGTTCGTACTGTGACTTCTTAACTGGCTATAACTTGCTGTATGGTATACCCAGTAGGCCTACCGGGTAATTTGCATCACCCTGTCTCTAAAAAGAAAATAACCAAAAACAATACTTTCGCACCTTGCGCTTTGCAGTCTATATTTGTAGAATGCTTTTCTAAGGAAATTAAAACAGTGCCAAAGTTAAAGACTCCCCTTATTAGGACTGGGGCCTAGAAACTTCTTCAATCATTATCCGGGACACTGAGCTCCAGCCAGTCTCAGCATCACCCAAGGTGTGGCCACTACTACACTTTCCTGCCCATAATTCCACTCTAACAGCGCCTTGTGGAATGTTTTCACAGTACCCCTCAAATGACCGATGATGCAGCAGTTCAGGGCTCCCAGATGGCCACCAGTTGTAAACAGCAGCCTCAATCGTCATTGGTCCACTGCATTCATTTCCATTGAACTTGAAATACCACCGGTTACACTTAGAACTACTTCCAAAGACCCTCATGTTGCCCTGGAATGAGACTCTGAGTGCTGAATTAGACTGCAGTTTGTTAAACGCACAGTCCTGGAATAAAATCAAACAAATCAATCATCTTGTAGTAAGACGAGCAACCGTGTGTAATGATTGATATTAACAACTCCAGTCAAGAATACTTCCTAATGTTTAAAAACTCTGTAATAGCTTGAATTTTTGTTGTCCCTATCCATATGGCCAGGAATCATTTTATCACGCACGATGGTTTTCCTTTTTTCGTTCAAAAAGAATCAAATTATAGGGAAATGTAACTTGGTTATCCGTTTAAAAGTTCTGGCAAACCGACTGACTGAGAGGGAAGAAATATTTTAATTTAGAAAGGAATTACTTTCCTTTGGAGTGTGTTATGATTCTTATGCTAATTACCTTAATCTTTCCGTTATCAGTACCGCTCTGTGATTTCCACACACATTGTTTCCAGTTGGTTTGTGGTACTACACTTGCTTGACTTGCTTCGGCGCTTTCTCCTTTATCTCCTTTGTCTCCTTTTTTCCCTTGACTTCCCACAATGCCTCGCTCTCCTTTCATTCCCACAAGTCCCTGTTGACCTTTCATTCCCTTGATTCCTTGTGGTCCACTCTTCCCAGGAGGCCCCTCTCGCCCTCTGTCTCCTCTTGGACCCCGCATTCCTTGTGATCCTTTATCACCAATTTGTCCCTTAGTACCGTCCCTTCCCTGGGGTCCTCGAGGTTCGGAAATGCCTGGCATTCCCGGCATACCATTGGATCCTGGGATGCCTGGGAAACCCACTATAGACCGCTGAAAGTAAAGATGATTTGTAGTTTAATGTAGAGACGAAGAAAAACTGACAACTGAACGTTAAATACCATGGCCTTAATTAGTGTGATAGGAAAAGCATGGAACAATGGAATAATCAATAGGCCATTTTCGGGTGTCCCCGGGCCTCTGTATCAAAACGAAGTTAAGTGCTCAGTCGTTGATATGGAAATGATTTTTCATTCTCATTTAAATAAACCTCATTTTCACAAGAAAGGTTGTGTACATGGGCTCATTTTGAAGGTGAGGGTTTTTGGAACTCGGAATTAACTGGCCTATTGTCAGTATGTGCTAAGGAAGAAAAAAACTGGAATGAAAGAAGCTTAACAGTTAACCTTAACAGGTTTTTCGTGTATGAAAGATTATGTTAAAAAAGGACTTTTAAATCAGTTGGAATGCATTTGCAAATGATAATATGGCGATGATAAAGTAGTAAAATATATGGTTTAGTCCCTTGGGCGTACCTAATCCATGGCGTACTCTCATTTTTATCCCTGTGTATTTCTTACCTCACATAAATCTTTTAATTTTGCAGTGTTTGGTTGCTGAGGTGAGGTGGTTGTTCTCAGTGAACCGCCAGGAATACAGAGAATCAACAAAACAGCGAAATACTCAGCCATCGCGCGAGCTGAACCAGACCACTTCAATTACTGAAATCAGTGCTACGTGCGCTTCATTTAAATAGTGCGGAATATTTGAAAGTCAATCTTTTGTTCCTGTTCATTGTTTGCTTGGTTTTGCTTGTTTCCTTTTCCTTTTATGGTAATTATCTTGCAAAGTGTATCTTTCTGTTTATATGCTTGCGTGCAAGGAGAACTGAAACAGGGTCAAAAGATGAACATTCCAAACACAAATTAACGACAGTAAAGTTTTACAAAGGCAAAAATGACTTCCGTAGTTATGCTTTCTGTTGCTTTGTGTTCCTAACAGTAGCCTTTTCCTTTCCTCTCCAGCACGCCAAAAACTTTTAGTCGTTGAAAAAACTTTGCCTTCAGTCTAAATTAGTCAGTGTTAGGTCAGAAAAATTAGCTGAGTTGCCATTTAGCTGCAGCTAAAAACGTCCATAATTTCTTTAGTAAGTGCTTGTTCCTCTAACTCCCTTATCTTATACCGGCACGTACAGTCCATCAAGAAAGTGAATTGATTGGTTTAGTTTTAAGATGACCCTTCCCCCTCCCCCAAAAAAAAAAAAAAAAAAGCGAGTGTACGCGTATGTGTTGAATTTTGCGAAAGCATCTCCTTCCTCTACTGCTGTGATCAGTCAAGTGTAAAGTTTCTTTGATGCTCGGTGAAAGGTTCTGGTCAATAAGGCAACGTCAAAAATTTGATTACTCATAGCGATGATGACTTTTATTTCCTTTTTTTCTTGCTATGCAGTTTCTCGTTCAGGCAGCCACAAACGTTTAGCTGTGACCTGTACACGTGGTTCTTTCTTACCAGGTCATGTTAAGCGTAAAAATTGGTATTTGAAAATGGTTCACATCCAGCGGATTAAGCGCTAGGCCTTTACTAAAAAATGCTTTCATGTACGCATGCGTAGAGCTGAATATGGTTAGATATTTCAGGAGCAAGACTTATGTCTAATTAACTTTGATGTATTAAGCAGCATTTACCATGTTTAAGGTTACCGTTATAGCCTGTCTTCACAAAGGCTTCATTCCTTTCCTTTCGGGCTGCGTCGTCCTTTTTTATTTTCTTTCCAAATACTTTGCTACTATACTACAGCTGACATGGCTGAAAAGAACGTACATTTCTTTCATCACCACCAAACATGTTTAGGGAAGTAGAGGTACTATTTTCTGATCTAGAAGCATCAAGTGATAGGAAATCATAATAATCCGACTATGGAAGCGCATATCCTATTAAGTATAATTTAGGCTAGTAAGTTTTAGCATTAGGAGCTTATTTTTCCCATTTTTCACTTTTCAAGACAACTCTTGATCTAAATTGTAAGATCAGTCTTAAGAACGCCGCTAAAAAAGCAGCGTCTTTGTTGCAGCAAGTTTTTAATAGTAGACTTTGACCCTACTTTTTGCAATGGATACTTGCTGCAAATTTGTTGCAAGACCATACGTTAGAGGCTGTTCAGCTTTCTCCCAACGCGAGTGGAACAGATGTCAAGGATGGACCCAAATTGAAACTTGAAAAAGTTGGGCCAATTTGTTTCAAGTTTAACTAAATGCTCTACCTGCTAAAATCACCAAAAATAGTATTATCATGGTTATTCTTCCTTGGGAAACATGTTTGAAATCTTCATATCTCTAACGAGTCATTTTGTGTATGGGTTAAATGGCACTAAGTAATCAGTATGACTTCCCGCACAGAATTGATTTAAAACAGCAATATCCTCGAGAAATGTCCCCTTCAACCATGTAAATTAATTTAAGCCCCAACTTTATCCAAATACAAATTCTCCACACTGATCTCCATACATTTCCTTCAAGAATTGGTGAAGAGAATTTATTTTGCTCTACCCATCAGGGGTTCATTTCATTGATTCTCACAGCAGTTTCTCTTGATTATGTATCGACAATGTTAAGAGAAAATTGACTTTGGTCGCTCTTGGGACTTGAAGAGTTAAGCAACTACTGCAGAGGAAGTTTCCTTGTTGAAGAAACCTTGCTCTTGTAAGAAGAGGGCCTTAACCCTTTTTTCACTTTTATAGGAACGATCTCGAATTTCTTGAACGGAAAATAAAAAGATAGAAACTGGCCTAAACCAGATAGATATTAAGAATCTGCTGCAAGATAATTGGGACAATTTTTGCAATTACCAAGAGAATATGACCACGTTTACAAACTCTGGCTGTTTCGTAAATAGGTGGGCGATTTCTATAAGAATGCAAGATATTCAGCTTCCATTTCTCCAACTTAAGGCAAATAATTCCAATAATTCACATGTTATATTTTCTATATTTCTATATGTTCTTCGTAGGAAAGTTAGTGAAACAGCGCCAAAGAGTATTTGAGACTCCCTTATTAGGACTGGGGCCTAGATACTTCTTCAATCGTTATCCGGGACGCTGATTTCCTCTCGGTGACAGCGTCACCCAGGGTTTCGCCGCTACACTGTCCTACCCATAATTCCACTTTAACCGCGCCTTGTGGGATATTTTCAAAGTACACCTAAAGTGACCGCTGACGATGCAAATTATGATCTTTCCCAGATTGCCAATAGTAGTAAATTACAGCCTCAGTCGTCATTGGTCCACTGTATTCGTTTCCAGTAGACTTGAAATACCACCTGTTACACAGATTATAAGGACACTCATCCATGGAATTAATTCTCCCAAACTAATACCATTTGCCAACACATAGCATAATTTTAGGTAACTATTAAATTACATTTCCCTTGACTTTGTTTCGTGTGGATAGAAAAAAGGAAAACTATTGTACATGAGTAAAATCATTCCTGACCATATGGATATGGGCAACAAAACTTTAAGCTATTACCAATTTTAAATTAGGAGGTAATCTTGGCTGCATTGAGTTGGTATGTACAAGAGAGGAAAATGGACAGAGAGGGAAACCCCCAGTGTAGCCCTTGAAATTCATGCGAGGTTGGTTTTCGGGGACGTCCTCAGTTTCATTTAATTATGAGAAATAATGAGGCATTATGCTCTCTTGGTGTGTCGGTATTAAAATATTCGGCATTGTTTGCTTTGAGGCAGTCGCGCGTGGACTCGATGACGTTTCAAGCAATCAATTGAAACATTTAGACGTCTTAGGGATCAGACTCTAAAAATAACTTTAATTTATTAATAATTTACATATCATGGTCACCTCATCCGATTGCCTCTCTTTCGAATTATTCACTCTTGATATCTATCATTACCCTGTCGGTCGACTTAGTACGGTATGTTTGATTCTATTCCAGGACTGTGCGTTTAACAAACTACATTCCAGCTCAGCACTCAGAGTGGGGACGGTCTTCTTGGAAAAATTTTCTTTTGAAAAGGAATGAATTTTCTTTGGAGTGTGTTATTCATGTTTCTCATTCCATTTACGTATACCTTAATTTTCCCCTTATCAGTACCGCTATAGCTACATGATTTCGACACAAATTGTTTCCAGGTGTTTTGTGTTAATACACTCGCTTGACTTGCTTTGGCGCTTTCTCCTTTCTCTCCTTTGTCTCCTTTTCTTTCTGTTGTAATAATGACAACTGTAGATAGTCTACATAAGCTCTCTAAAGATCGCCGAACGAACCATTTGAAACCTTTTGAGTTTAATCAGGGTTACCCACTGAGAATATAGTCTAAAACCTCTTAAACATAGCATTGTTGACCGTATTTTGGTAACTAAACAGTAGATATAGGCATATTTTTATCCCCTAAAAATTTTTCATCTGTTCGGATTCCCTAGCTAAAATTATAGTGATCCGAACATTACATGGATCAAAACTTGCCTTTTCGAAAATTTCTGCCAGAAAAATGGCTTCCGAAAATTATAGGTGACCTTTTTAGGGTAAAAACTACGTTAAAAATGGGGAATTATACCATTTTTTAGATGTTCGAAAATCCTAGCAGAAGCGGGCAAGCAAGAAATTTTACAACAAATGTTCTGAAAATTCTAGATCTCAAATCGTCTTCCGAACAGATATTTTCCGAAAATTGACGTTGGGTGCCCCTGTTTAATTAAGAGAAGTTTAAAAATCTTTGAAAGTTTTTTTTTCTGGATGAAGTTTAAGATAAACTTGAAATTACTATCCTTGATGACGTTACACTATGACAACTGTAGACAGTTTCTACTGAGGTTGTTACCAGGTTAGATCACTGATTGAATCATTTAAAACTTACAGACTCAATTAATGTTTATCATTTTCTAACTAATTTTGGGGGTTAAGTTATTTTTATTTGGATCGAGTACAACTGGAGTTTAAAGCTAATCAAGACCGAGAGAAAATCAAAGGATCAATTCTCTATAATAAACTTTTTCAGAGTGATCTCATGAGTAGAAATGTATCTTTTCATTCTTCGTTCTTGTCTTCACATGTATGAATAATAATCCACCGGTCTCGTAATCAAAATATTTCTTTACCACTGTCCCATTCTGTTTCACTTCAGTGACCTGCTTAGCCTCCATCTATTGATATAATATTATGATGAAACAATGGAAACGATGCCTTAATTTCCATGTACTTATTCAGCTTCCTTGACTGAAACCCCACTGCTACCTGGGTTATTCAGATGCAAGCAATGCATCGGATGTACATAACGATGTAATTTAAAAATCATTTGAAAGCGCCTCATTGAATATAATTAACTATGCTGATTGGTGCTTGAGATTGAGCATGAGATTGTATTTTGCTGCCTTAGGTGTTGGCAAGAGAAGTTTGTGGTGCGCTGGTTTTACTGATCCGCCCAAACCATCCGGGTGGTATCGCAAATATATAGGGAACAGAACAATAGAGGAGACGTCAGCCAATCAGGAAATACTGACGACACTATAACTGATAAAACTGATTGGACAATACCGACTCTTTTATCTTTATTGTTGGTTGTTGTGATTTGAAATGGCAAAGGGAAGTACCTTTGAATGAAACTTTTACCGGCCTTCTCGTTAAATTGAAACTTTTTAAAAAAAAGAAATAAAAAGAAAGAGAAGAAACGGCATTCTGATTATCGATGTTGGCATTCTCAGATTCACTAAACAGCGATATTTACATCGATCTGTCTTATCTTTGCGACATATATTATATCTAATTCTTCCTTGCTTTGGCAAAGCAAGTAAACTGCGTTAATCCCTTTAAAGAACTAATCGGATGAACCGAAGCTAACCGCTAAACTGTGAACATCAAATCATAATAGAAGAAAGGCAAATCGGCGACTGTCTTAGCGGCGGACTGGTTCAATTGTAGTTTACTAGAAAGTTAGGGCGTAAACAGAAGGACAAAAACTGTAGTGTACAAAAAGACTACGTTTCATTTAACCACTGATTCTAAGCTAGAGAAGAGAAAACGACGTGTAAACGACGAATTTAGAAAAAGAGCTAACAACGCAAAAATTTGGCAACGGTTGTCACCAAACCAAAATTGATTTATAGTGTGTTTATGTTCTTGGTGCGGGTTTGTTTTTTGAATTCATAAAAACAAAACTTTGAACGTGATGATAACACCCTTTGTTTAGATAAAAGCTAGAAATGCAAATTGTTATTGTGATTGCGGAAACCATTATTGTTGGTTCGTTCTGGTCGGTGGTGAACTTAAAACAAGACTTACTATTATTTTGTATTGTTTACTCGTTATTTTTCAAAACGGCCAACGCGAATAGAAGTTCTTTCAATTAATTTCCCTGCTTCAGCATTGTTTTATAGCCGATGCAAATTTCTGACATCCTTTCTAACCGTTACCTTGCATTGTGACATATGGTGCCGACCGTACATTTTTTTTCAGTTCAATTTTGGCTCAACATTGTCTCTTCATTTCTTCTTTTAATAGGGAGCTTAAGCAAAGGCATTCCACGCGCGTCAATAGGAAGAGAGACCTTTATCTTGTTTAATATGTCATGAAACCCAAATTTCTATAACTGATAGTCTTAATAGAACGCTTTGCCGGAAAATTTGGGCATCATACTGCTCGGCAGAATACTGCCCAAGCCGGCGGATGCAAAACGCGCACTTTCCGTTGACGTGAGTCTGGCTCAAAACGTCTTTTAAGCTCAATATTAAAATGCTGAATAACATCAACATGTAGAACGTTGTATCTCCGCTACTCCTTTTCTCACTTGATCTCCCAAACCTGCGTCAAGGGCAAGGCGCTTGAATTTGTGGTATCCCGTTCACGCGCGTCTTCATTCCCCCTAGGTTTTCTTCATCTTTTTAAAGGTACTTAAAAGTACTAAATAATATTTATTACTTTTATTGCGCATATTATGATCAAATGCGCAAGTACCTGCCGTGTAATATATTCAGCGGATCTCCACTGACTAGTTAACCGCAAAATGCGTAGAGAATATTCAGTTATGCATGTTGCTTGTTAAGGGGTGCACTGGTTGGTAATACATTCTAACCCAAAATCATTTCTTTTATACAGTCAGTAGAACCTCGATTTTTGATTCGCACGACTAGAACTAAATTTCCTTTCTCTTGATCAAAATTTTACTGAAATTTACCCTGATAGGTCAAATTCCACTCTAACTCGAACCGCTTTTCGTTTCCCTTCAGTGTTCGAGTTACCTGGTCGTTACCGTAACTGGTCGCCTCTAACTTACGGAAGAGGTTGCGAGCAGAGCTTCGACTGCATATAGAATGATAAAAAATTATTGAACCCATCACGGCAAAATATAGTCATTTGTTGGAGTGTCTCACAGGTCAATTCTTTTCTTCGGCAAGTCGTATTTCGCTAAGTAACGCCCAAGAATTAAATTTATTAAGTTACTTAAGATGGTAGTATCGCCAAGACCAATTATCTGCTAAAAAAACGAATCTACTCTTAATTAACAAGACAAGAAAGATCGTTACGAAAGCTTGGGACAAACAAAATGTCACATAATCTCATTAAGTAAACATGTCGGCAAACCAGAGGATGTTTCTTTATAATCCGAATCAAAAAGCTTTTTTGTCTTCTAATTTTTTTGTCAGCAGATCTCTTTTTTGCTTCAAAATGAAGCGTTCTAACATGATCGCCTCGTGCCTCCCTTTGTCCACGAGCAAAAGCAAAAATCAGAAACAGACAAACAAAAATAAGTAAATAACAAGAACAAGAAGCATATAAAACTACACCCGTTTTTATAAATAACAAATTATCATCCCTTTCGAAAATGGCCAATTCAAATTCAATTGAAGACCCGGGGGGATTCCCTCACTTCTTTAGCCTAAAAGGTTATGTGCCACTGAACAACAGGAAGTTGGTTTTAAGGTCTCGCCAGTGAGTCTCAAACATGGTCAACTAATTCACTATTTTGCGTCGTTAACAAGGTCAATTTTTGGACCAGATGCCTTTTAGAGAGTGTGAAAGTTAGGCCTACTTTTGTGCTATAAATAATCCTTTGTAGAATTACCTGTTCCTTTTAAAAAATGCTTAATTCTGTTTGTGAAACGAAATGAGTTAGGGTCATATAATAATGTCTCTTTGTCTTAAACAGGGTACGGTCAGGTTACTGTAAATATCAAGTCCAATTACCACGAAACAAAACAAAACAACTTTCGTCTCCTTCATATAGTATTTGTTGGTTGTCGCGAAAGGACACGCCATTTTGACGCCCTTACTAAAACAGCCGGTGCATAGCTAAATACTGTTACGGGAGCCAATCTAAACATGCGAAAATTGCTAGCCCCTGAAAATGGCTAAACATCTACCCCTCCTCAGGGTCGGTGTATAGCGCTAAAAAGACTCGATCGACGCTCATTGCGTCGCTGTCTATTTCCACCGTTTTTTACCGCCTCTTATGGGAAGATAGTTGTGCATCTGTTGACTACGAAATAAAATAAAATGGCGGAAGTAGGTAAGTCAGTAACGGATTCATTAATGTGTCAATGTATTTAGTTTTCACAACTAATTGGGCACACAACAAAAAAGTTACAATTATTTACAAATAAGAAATAAAGAATGTAATACAATCAAAATATGTAGCATGTATAAATTGAACAATAAAACAAAAGGTACAATGTATATAAAAGGTAGTCTCTGAGAATTGCAAAGGTTTCAGCAGTTATTGTTGCTGTTTAACAGTGACGTTAGGTCTTTTTCCGAATGTTCTTTTTAAAAAATGCAATATTCGAGGAGCCTTTCAATTTATTATCCAGTTTCGACCACATATGAGGTCATTAATATCTAAGAGAATGTTTTTCAAAGTTAATAGTGTTAAAAGTAGGAATATCAAAATCACTGTTCCTTAGTGATTAACCAGTGTTCTTCTGATTAAATAGTTCATTAACAATACTCGGTGGGAGGTCATATTTTACTTTGTACATTAATATTGCGATATCTTGCAGTCTTCGATTAAGTATTGAGGGTAGCTCTGTGGGAACCAAAAGGATTTCGTATGATTGTGAATGAGAGTTAAATACTGCTCTATGTGCGCGTTTTTGAATTCTCTCTATTTTCCTGCTGTCAGAAGATCTGCAGTTATGCCATACCAGATGGCAATATGCTAAGTGAGGCAGGATGAATGATTTGTACATTATCAGTTTCGCTTTGTATGGTATCAAACTTCTCAGTTTCAATAGTACACCAACTTATTGACTTGCCTTTTGCAAAAGTTGCTCATATTGGTGAAATTAAGCGTATATATTTTCCTTTCCTTTCTGTAAACGGTATAGCGATATCAAACGTCTTCAGTAATGCAAGTGGAAAAATTTAATTTTGCCAACGATTCAGTTTTGTTTTCCGCTTGAATTATTCCTAGGGCTGAAAGATGACCACGTCGTCAAGCACTAAGGCAAACTACTTTTATCTCTACTCCTTTAGAACAGTTCAATTTACTTCTTATAGATATTCAAAATATAGTTCAGGGTTAGGTGACCAACGAAATTCGGTGATTCTTACGCCTTCTCGTTAGTTGTGAAAGGTGGTTTGCATGCATTTATCACTATGTAATACGTGCATGTTTTTATACTGCAAGAAGTCTTGGGTTTATAAGCCACCTAGTTTGATACTTAGGCTTAGTTCCTTTGTTGATTTTACGCGTATTCTTACCACAATCGTTTTTGAATCACCCTCCTTGGGTTTCCTCCGAATCAGAGCCGCTCTTATGAATCGACGCCCGTAGCGCCGAGTTGGCTGTACTGATCATCTTATATCCAACAGTTAAAAAAAATAAAAGCGCGAGTGGAATAATTGTTTTATCAAAAACGCCAACAAAATATCGACAATTCTTCCCAACGTTCTTTGTAAAAACATCCGATTTTCAGCTTGTTTTCAATTTTGAGCAGACAGAACAGTTACCATATTTAGAGAAAATAGTACGATGGCTCATATACTGATAGCTAAGCCAATCAGAGCTCTAGAATTGCATTATCCAATGATCCAGTTTGTTATACGTTGGTACTCTTTTTTGATAGGTGCAATGTTTTTTGGATATTCTAACCTTTTATTAGTTCACCTCCGGCTGGAGCATCGAAGAAACGTTTTTTCCGTTAGGATGGTCGAACCAACTGCTCTCCAAGGGAAATGTTGTTATCAGGCTAAGATAAAAGAGTCAGTATTTTCAAGGAAGCTATCAAAAACACAGAAAAAAGATGAAGTCGTTACATTGATGGATATTTAAAAACGCATACAGAAATAAAAGCCTTGCTGAAATAAATGTAAACTGTACTCTTGTTGACGGACGTTCGTACTGTGACTTCTTAACTCGCTATATCTTGCTGTATGGTATACCTGGTAGGCATACCGGGTAATTTACAGTACCCTGTCTCTACTCCATCCCCCCCCTTTCCCTCTCCCTCCTTCCCTCCCTCCCATTTTCTAACGAAAGAAAGCCCGGGAGCTAAGTACCTCTTCATTCATCTGATCAAAAATATTTTGATGTTTAACTTTTTTAAAATATAAATAGTTCAAATGATTGTCAGGGGCTTTTTTTTGTTTAAACGACCAGGCAAGTGTGCAAATAGGTGCAGTCTCACAAATATTAATTTATCCAATGCACGGGAAATTCTCTGTTAGGAGATGACATAATGAGTTCAATCTCTCTGATCTTATTTGTTAGGGAAAAATAATGAACAAGATTTTACATACTGTACGACGTTTTCTTTTATTGAAAGCCAGTTAATGTCACATTAAAGCAAACTGCACTGACATGAAAGAAATGATAACAGAGATGCTATAAAAATATAATAATGGGAAGGTTTGACAAGAATCTAATTGTTACGAATAATAACATTTCATTTTTTCCCGCTGTTTGAGAGATAATCTAGTATGCCAAAGGGAAAGGAAAGAGGATATCGACGCGCAGGAAGCACGAAGGGCGCGCAAGGAAGGAGGAAGGAGGATGCGCCTCTCCTTCCCTCTCCCTCACGCGCGGTCTCGTGCCTAAATTCACTTCCCTTCTCTTTGGAACCCTGGCACGCAGGCAGCAGATAATCAAGTTATCCTAAAATCATATTCATCTTCCTTCCGATTGTAATAATGGTTTTGCATCGAAGCGTTTAGCTACAAAAAGAATCGTGCTTTGATTAAAGATTTAATTAAATCATTTCCACCTTGCGGTTTAATTAAAGATTTTCTAAAATATTTTGAAGGCAAAGATCAACTCCTCAGCAGTTTTTTTTTTCTCTACGGTGAAAGATTATACCACGACCTTTACTTTGACATATTTACAGACAATCTGATTGTATACATGGTAAGCCAAAAGTGAGACTGGGTTCAAGCCCTGAAGCTGTAGTGATATATTTTGCATCCATAAAATATCACCTAAAAAGGCATAACCAATCAATCGCTACTCCATCACAGCCATTTTGTCTCAACACGCAATGAGAAAGAGCGTCGCTGACAAGACAAAACGGCTGCGTGGGGGACCAATTCCCTACGCTCTCAGCCGATTATTGTGTCGTCACGAAAGGTGCCTCCACAAAGGGCTAAAAGAAAATAACCAAAAACAATTCTTTTGCACCATTATATGCGCTTTGCAGTCTGTATTTGTAGAATGCTATGCTAAGGAAGTTAAAACAGCGCAAAAGCTTAAGACTCTCCTTATTAGGACTGGGACCTAGATACTTCTTCAATCATTATCCGGGACACTGAATTCCACCCAGTGTAAGCATCACCCTTGTAGCCACTGCACTGTCCTACCCATAATTCCACTCTAACAGCACCTTGTGGAATGTTTTCACAGTACCCCTCAAATGACCGATGATGCAGCAGATTAGGGTTCCCAGATGACCAGTAGTTATAAACAGCAGCCTCAATCGTCATTGGCCCACTGCATTCGTTTCCATTGAACTTGAAATACCAGCGATTGCACTTGTTTACATAACCCCGGACCCTCATGTTTCCCTGGAATGAGACTCTGAGAGCTGAATGAGACTGCAGTTTGTTAAATGCACAGTCCTGGAATAAAATTAAACATATAATTGTAGTAAGGCGAGCAACCGTGTGTAATGATTGATACTAACAACTCCAGTCAAGATTACTTCCTAATGTTAAAAACTCTGTAATAGCTTAAATTTTTGTTGTTCTTCTCCATATGGCAGGAATCATTTTAACACTCACGATGGTTTTCTTTTTTTTCGTTCAAAAAAGAACCAAAGTAGAGAGAAATCCAACTTAGTTATTTCTGTTATGTGTTAGCAAACGGTGAGTGAGAGGAGAGACGTTCTTCTTTGAAGCATTTTAATTTAAAAAGGAATGAATTTTCTTAGGAGTGTGTTATGATTCTTATTCTATTTATTTTTACCTTAATCTTTCCGTTATCAGTATCGCTGCTTGATTTGCACACACATTGTTTCCAGTTGGTTTGTGGTACTACACTTGTTTGAGTTGCTCTGGCGCTTTCTCCTTTCTCTCCTTTGTCTCCTTTTCTTCCTTTCATTCCCATAATGCCCCGCTCTCCTTTCATTCCCGCAATGCCTCGCTCTCCTTTAATTCCCACAGCTCCGCGCACCCCTTTCATTCCCGCAATGCCTCGCTCCCCTTTCATTCCCACAGCTCCGCGCACTCCTTTCATTCCCACAATGCCTCGCTCCCCTTTCATTCCCACAACTCCGCGCACTCCTTTCATTCCCGCAATGCCTCGCTCTCCTTTCATTCCCACAGCTCCGCGCACTCCTTTCATTCCCGCAATGCCTTGCTCCCCTTTCATTCCCACAACTCCGCGCACTCCTTTCATTCCCGCAATGCCTCGCTCTCCTTTAATTCCCACAGCTCCGCGCACTCCTTTCATTCCCACAATGCCTGCCTCTCCTTTCATTCCCACAAGTCCCTTTGACCTTTCATGCCCTTAATTCCTTGGGGTCCACTCTTCCCAGGGGGTCCTACTCGTCCTCTGTCTCCTCTTGGACCCAGCATTCCTTGCGAACCCTTTTCACCAATTTCACCAATGTCCTTTTACACCTTCTCTTCCCTGGGGCCCATGTGGCCCCGGGACGCCCGGCACTCCCGGTATACCATTTGATCCTGGAATACCAGAGAAACCCATCAGAGATCGCTGAAAGTAAAGATGACTTGTAATTAGCAGAGACGAACACGGGATCTTAAATAACTGGTGAGGGGGGGGCTGGATGTACTCCTGGGAATTCTTGGTGGGGGTGTGCCGCCCGGTTCCCCAAATCCTGATTCTATTTCCGACCAAAACACGTCATTTTTTGCACCCGTCTTCAGATTTGGCCTCTAAAATCCATACCAGTTTTAGGACCTTTTCTCTAAGAAATTATGCATGTCGTCATCATTACTTAGATTAATTCTCCCAGTTTTGGAAATGAAAGGATAATTTCGTTCATACACGCCCGTAGCTTCCTCGCAAACAATGATTCAACACCAAAATCATGAACAAAGTCTGTACCCGCCCGCCGTCTCCATTGTTTTCGAGGCATGGAATGGACCTTGGACATCATAATCCTATTTAAAGCGTTATCTCGCCTCGAATGGACTTGAATGGAATCAGAGAAAATTAACAGCTAACAATGGACAGGCTTCAGGCTTTCGAGGAAAGATCATGCTGAATTAAGCGAGGACTTTTAAATAAACTGATATACACTTTTAACGGGTACTTTTTAGTAAGTGATCATAAAGACGTGAGAGTAATAAAAGAGGGGAACATTGGGGGGTACCCAATACCGCAATACCGTACGAAAAAATGGCAAATACCGAAATACCGCGTCGCAAATCGACTAAATACCGATACCGCATATTTTAATTACATTTATAATCGGTTCCGCATACTTATGGTTGCTTCCATCTAGCGCGTTTAATTATCTCAGGCATTTATGCACAAAGCTGTCCATGTTTTTTTAATATTTTGGTAGTTCGCAAATTTTCACTGAAAAGGAAACTTCATTCGTTCAACCTTTTGGTAGGAGTATACAAAACGAAAAGCATACAGTGAGGTGTGATCCCTAATACAGTCCTAAGAGTGAATAACAATTCTCTTACCTTAAAACGGTTTTCTAAAGGGCATTTGCATGATGGCGTCATTATTACTACAACCGGTTTAGACTGTTCACAGTTCCCTATTTTCCCGTGAGACCGTCGGGATGCAATATGGCCGCCAGTAACGCAAAGCGCTCGATCTCGATGGTCTTACGGAAAAATAGGGGACTGTGAACCGTCTACAACTACTACTACTACTTGAATACATTTAGTTTTCCCTTTCATATTAAATTTGTTAATTCCAAAGCGTTATATAACAAATTTAACGCTCTAACTTGCACAAAACAGGAAAATCGTAAAGGATTCTGGTAGTAGTGGTAGTGGTAGTCAAAACACGTTATCACGCATATCGCCCAATTTCCGGTCAAGTGTAGGCCAGTCTATCCGTAGCAGCATCGGACAAATGCAACCGTCTTTCAGTACAATAAACGGTTATTAAATCGAATAACTCTGCCAAATCGAGATCGTGCACCAAGGAGGAAGTTTGCTGCGCTTCCGATTTCCACTTGAAGAGTTCCTTGAAGAACTAGAGCACTTTCATCAGTAGTTTCCTCAATTTCCTCATCACTGCCGGCTAGGATCGAACTCATCCACCAATTCCTCATCTGCTGTATCATCCTCTGCTGTTTGGTCATCCACTGTTTCGGTGGCCTTGGCACCTGCATGTTGCGCAGAAGTGATGGTGACCGGGTTGTGTAATGCGACACACTCTCTCTGGTACATGAATTCTGGTAGAGTACCATGTTTTGCCATTGTTGTTTCTTGGCGCACTGTCCGTTGTCGCACAGCAGCCCCATAAGAGGAGGCCCAGTTTCGTAGAATTTCGCAGTCTGCTTGCGATAAATCAACGACAGGTAAGGGTTTCATGGTAGGTACTTTTGAAAATGAAATCGTTTCTTCAGGTTTGGATACCACGATTTTCTGCTCGTGTGGTAATATGCCCCCCACTGGGTCACTCTCTTGACGGATTCTTTCATCGTAACTCCGGAGGATCTGCTGTACTCCTTCGCAGACATGTTAGCCTGCTTTATGTGAACGGTGGAGTGGCAATTTTCGACGTCCAACGTCATGCGTCTCAAAAAATTAGTTGCTTGATAATCAAAGGTCTTTAAGTTGTCGAACAGTCTCTGAAGACCCCATTCAGTCATGCTAACTGATTGCACAGTCTTGGCCGAGACGTGGCCTTCTGGTCCATTTAGTGTTCGAGAAATTCCTGTGTTAGATCTTATGTCCACGGTAATATCGTTAAGAAAGTCTTTGCACTGTCGAACAAGAATAAGAGCCTCATCAGGTCTCTTAACAGTGTATGTTGAACCTTTGTTATGCACAGAGAATGCATTATACAAGGACCCCATGGCGTTTAGAAAAAGAGAACACTGTTTAATCTCAGTACAGACCATTAAAGAGTTCGCCTGCGCATCACAAACATAAACAACACTGTCAAACTCGGTACAAATACCCATTGGTTGTTTAAACCGACAAGTCTTGATGGGTCCGTCGCCAATTCCTTCTTCTTTGTCAGAGCCAGCAAACAGATCTAATTCGCCACACGGTTTAAGATGCCAAACAGATGACTTCTTCTGATTGGTAAATAAGACGTCCGAACCAAATCTTGTTGTCCTTGACCCCGGGTCATCCCAGCGTGGGAGTCCGTGGACAAATAGGAACGGAATAGCAATACCGTAAGCGCTAAACGCCCCCTCAAAACAGTAAAACAGAGAGTCTAACTAAATCAGAGACAATATTAGAGCTTTCTTAGATTATACGAATCATAAAATTGTGCCGGACTTTTATTCTTGGTCACTTCAAATGGACTAAACGGCTTCCTGACCTTCCTGGCAAACTGCGAGTACCTATCTCACAGACAATTCTGGTTATAGGGTCTTATAGGTCGATCCAACAGCTAATTAACTCGTATGGAAGTAACTCTTGAAAGCTTGAAAACAAAAACAAAAAACAAACCAACCAAAACCCTTTCCACAAACGTCTAGTGCGAGTTTTGAGTCACCTATCTCGACTATCTGACCTATTTCACACGCCGCACTGGTAAGAACTAAAGAAGCAAACTTACCAAATCCTCTCCTTTACCTTTACAAGCCGTTTTTCTGTACTTGAAACCCGGCATCGAAACTTATTTTTCTTGCGATAATTTTCCCCTCCTTTGCCTTCTTCGTAAAAAATTGCAACGCAAACAATGATGACTTCGCCGTCTTGACCGTCTTGAACCAAAGCGACCTCAGCCATCGTGAGAAAACGTGTAAGACCTCGAATTACCGGCACACGTGCCTGGTAAGGTAACTTGAGACAACTCATTGTCATTGGATGCAACAACAATCTCATTGTGTCTTGACCTATTATTATCGACCATTAACTGTCACAAAATGACCCACAAATGATGTAATCATTTACCATTATGTCTAAAGACTTGTAAATATTAACTTTTCTTGACCTTTATGTCTTACTGTGTTTTGTTCTGCGTATTGTATCGAAAGGAAAGCGCAAACAACCGAACCGCAATACCGTAAACAATCATATTTCACCGAATACCGTCAGCCAAAATGATGAAATACCGCATACCGCAAGGCTAGACGATACCGCAATACCGCACGTTAAAATCAAAATTACCGAAATACCGCATGAAAAAAAGCCCAATACCGCAATACCGTAAACCCCCATGTCCCCCTCATAAAACTGTTTCTGGGTGTACCTAATCTACGGCGCAGTACTCCTTTTTATATCTTTATGCATTTCTTACCAGGAATAAGTCTTTTACCTCTGTGGCGTTTTGTTGCTGAGGTGAGGTGGTTGTTCCCAGAGAGCCGCCAAAAAAAGAGAGAATCAGGAAAACAGCGAAATACTGAACCATGGCGGTGAGTGTTGAACGAGAACACAGCGTTTTCTGAAATCAGTGCTACGTGCTCATCATTTTAATTTATAGAAAATATTTTAAGTAAATCCTCAGCTGTTCCTGTATATCAGTTTGTTTGTTTTTGCTCGTTTCTTTTTCCTTTTATGGCAATTTTTTGTTTCTTTTTTTCTCTGTTTATAAGCCAGCTTCAGAGTACTGAAACAGGGTCAAAAGATGAACATTCCAAAAATTAATTACAGAACATAAATTTTACAAAAGCAACTTTTAAAAGCAAGTCTTATGCATTCGCCCCATGTAAGGTAATCCAAGAGAGTCTTGGATTCCGGATTCCACGCTGTGGATTCCGGATTCCATGCCTGTGGATTCCGGATTCCACATCCGTGGATTCCGGATTCCATAAGTGGCTGGATTCCAGATTTCAAAATTCTATTTTCTGGTTTTCAACGTTTCCTTTGTACTTTGTTTTCACCAAAAAAGCTTGTTCTTTTTTTACCCGAAGTGTACATTGTCTTATATAAAATATAAGTATAAAATATAATTCTTGGCCTTACCCGAGAGGATTATGAATATAGGAGCGGTTTCTGAAGTCCACTGAGTCCACATCGTTGAAGAAATACTAACGAGGAAGGGCTATTCTTATTCTAATAATAACAACGGCGTCAACAATAACAAAAGAGGTACACATTGCCAAAATCAGTGCTTTTCAGGTTCAAACATAATTCGTCTCCGAATTGTTTAATTGCCACACAGAAATGTAAAACTTCAGTTACAGCTTACCAACAAATGGCGTGAAGATAGTCCAATTACTAGACTACAAGCTACGCAGGCAACGGAAACGTTTATCTTAGAATAAACCGTGTCGTTCTCCGTCCTGATAAACTAACTCCCGGCAGTCTTATCGGGACGGATACTTCTCCCTCATCCTCTACAGTTGGTGGTGCAGTTTCATTCTCATTGTCATCATCGTCACCGTAGTCTCCATTAGCAATTCGACAGAGCCTGTTATCCTCCTCTGTTGTTAAAATGATGTCTGATCCATCGGAAGAAAAGTCGAGTACTCGGGTTAGAATGCACTTGGGGGAATTCCCATTACAGACATCACCGGAGGTGTATGTTAGTGAATCACTTGTTTGGTTTAGCCACTTTAGGGATACTCTTTGCTGCACAAAATTTCCACCATTCACTTCTATTTGTACATCCTCCAGAAGAACTGCTAGCCAGAAGGGTGAGATCTCTCTTCTACGGTTGTGTCTTACTGCCAATATGTCGTCTTTCTGGTAAATGGTTTGCACCCGTACAGCCGTACTCCGCAATGTCACATTAGCATCCACAACTTGGCAAGCTGTTGTTACGTCTTCGCTTTCCTCTAATGAGGCTGTGATGGTAGTGGGACACATACTAAGGGCATAAGGAAGGGTGCCAGTTAGCTCTTTCGTTTTTGAGCGGACATTTTCCTGTCTTACGCCTCTTCCATACTCCTTAGCAAATTCTCGCATCACAGTTTCTCGCCTTGTGTCTTCTTCTTTGCTACCTGTTCCTTCAGTGATTGCTGACAGCTTGTTTGGTCGCGTCTTGATGTTTGAGGGTTCACCTTTGATAATTTTCTCCGGATAATATGAATTGGGCCCAGTGAAATATGAGAAATCCTTCTGGTAAATGCGCAGCATATCGTCTTCCACGCAGCGCGCTCTTCTGTAAGCGTAGTTAGCCACTGTAGGCATGTCGTGGTCTGCTCGCATTCCTTTGAAATAGCATTCCACGCCCAAAGTTGTCATACTTTCGAAACAGATCCTGTCCAGAAGGTGACTATGCCCAATCTCCGTTAGCGTGTTGGTAAGGCTGGTCAGCGATTCTAACACTATGAGGAAGGACTGTCGGGTGCATCGAGGTATGGTCATGTCGGGACCGTTGGTATTTCGCTTGCCCGTCCTCTCCAGGGCTTCCTGTTCGTGGTTAGAGAGAAATGCAACCAACTCCTCGACAGATTTCACATGATCTTCAAATGTACGTGGTAGGTCTTCTTCTTTGGCTTTCTTGTTGAGTCGGAACACGTTTGCGTATTGAGCCATCTTACTTTGCAGGGGGATCAGTCCCTTTGCTGACGTCAACATTCTTATTCCTACGTTACCGGTACCGCATACGAAAACAGTGTTTCGATATACGCATAAAGCAGTAGGCTTGTTCCATCGACTTTGGACACCATCACGATGGCCTGCAGTTTCTCCACACACTTTTGTTAGGGTTTCTTTACCCCCAAGCATCTCTTCTTCCTTCAAACTGAACAGTGCGTGTTCTTTGCTGGAGGACAAGAACACGGTTCCACCATCTGTCACTGCAATACCCATGAGGCCTGGAATATTCGAAATTGTTCTCAGTTTCAATCGTCCTCTCACTTGACAAAGATGAATACATGAACCATTCCCGTCTCCAACTAACAAGTATTGCTCGTCACGTGTTAAGGCTAATGAAGTTAATAAACTAGATCGATCAAAACAAAACAATTCATTTAACTGACCGACGCAGTTAGTTTCCTCATCGTCTACAACACCAGAAATTGAAAAAATCTTGCCAAGACCAACGTCTGACACAAACAATTCAACGCTACCCTTTGCAGACGCACATATGGTAAATGGTGACACCAGATCCGGTACATTACCTTCAGAAATAAGGGAAAGATCGTGTACATGGACTTTACGGATACGTCTACCGGCGCAATCTTCTTCCTCACTTTGGCTTTCTTCGGCGCTCCCTTGTACAATCTGGGAAGCGTGACAGAAAAGCGTTCGCAAATTGACTAATCTAACTCTTCCGTTTCCTTGGTCACAAACGTACAGCTTCCCGCTCTCTTTCACTGCAAAACCAGCTGGGTTTCTAAATCTGGCCTTGTTGCCATATCTATTAGTGTGCCTGGGCTCACCACCACCAGCGATTAATGTGACATTTGCTGGACAGTGCATGTCAACCATGAGGACTGCAGGGAGATGTCTATCGGTAATAAACAGCCTGCTATGCTTTGGGGAGAATGCCAATCCTACCGGGTAGCTTAAAAGAGAGGCCCCGTTGTTTTTCCAGTGCTTGAATTCCAGTTCTGGAACTAATGTTGTGCTCACTCTTTCATCTGGAATGGAATCTTGAATCGCTTTCCGGTGAGTCTCCACTGCTGTTTCTACATCCATCCGATCTTTGTTTCGAACTGCTTTCAATGAAACTGATTTCTTGATGTCTTCGTATTCTCTACGTAGCACCAAAAGCAGCCTTACATTCACTTGATTCACTAGGTATCCATCAATGTCAATCCAATGCCAAAACTCTGCAGAACGTACTGACTTGATGTTGTGTGGGCAGTCACGAATAGGGACTTGGTAGGGGTACTTCGCCCTGTCTGCTAGCATGGAATTCATAAAGCTCTTTTGCTTGGGATCGCAGTCAGTGGCCCAAACCAATAGGAACAGTCGAGTGAAACAAGCGTGAACATGCCTGTTGCGCGTCCTTGCGACATGGGATTTTCACGCAATAGTCACTAAAGGAAAAGAAGAGGCCCTGGAACCATTACAACAGAGTGGACTCCAGCAACCTGGATTCTGGATTACAATGCTTGGATTCCGGATTCCATTAGCTGGATTCCGGATCCCAAAGCCGTGGATTCCGGATTCCACAGACCAAAATTACCTGGATTCCGGATTCCGGATTACCTTACATGGGGCGATATGCATGCTATCATGACTTTGTGTTACCTAACGGTATCCGATTTCTTTCCTTTTTAGTGCGCCAAAAAGCCAAAAATATAACTTTGTTTTCAATCCAAGTTGACTATGTTACTGTCAGAAAAAGTAGCGGCTCCATTAAGCATCCAGCTAAACAAGCCTTAACGTGTCTAGAGTTAGTGGGCGCTTTCCATTTACTCAAAATTTCCGGAATTTCCGGTTCGGCGGTAAATGGAACACGTTTCGTCGGTTCGTCCCACTGGAAAATTCCCAGAAAAAGTGGAAAATCTAAAAAGGTGGTCCCGTTTTCCCGGTTGGAATTTCCGCACGGAATCTCGTGTTCCATTTACGTTTCTCGTAGTTTGTACCAGTTCCAGGTCCACGGTCGGGCACCGCCACGTACCGGGGTTTACGACCAAATGGAACAACTTTTTACCAATCGGAAATTCCACTTTTGCTACCACCGAAATTTCCGGATTTTTTTCCTAAATGGAAAGCGCCCAGTGTGTTTATTTTTAAACTCCCATATCATATATTTTGAAGGTGGGGGGAGGGCTCCGTATAATAACCTAACAGGAAGGCGCTGCCCAAAAGGATACCTCTTTCAATTTAGGATAAACTATTGCACGTTATTTTCAATATTTGACATGAACAAGCTAAAGAAACCTATGGAAAGAGCGCCTTTAAATTAGAAAAGTTGCAAAGTCTAAAAGTCGGATTTGTTGAAAACTAACCAAGAGTCGCCAAAACAGTCGTTTGTATGGTGGGGGCCGGGCACAAACTTGCTTCTCCCCCCCCCTCCCCCCCACCACGTACAAACGTTTGTCAATTTTTGCAACTTTACAGAGCTATATCTTTGCACGCTTAAGACGTATCACTTTCTCATTTGGCAATGTTACAGCCACTGAAATTAAAATTAAACTTATGTTTGTACTAGGAGTAATAGCCGAGCTTAGGAGAGTGCGTTCGATATGTTTGCTAGGCGCACAGGTGGCAGTTGAGAGGAAAGGGTGGATGGTTCTTGCGATAGATAACTATGATTATGGCATATTTTAAACGTAAGGGTTGCGTACAGCGAAACCTCCATTTAAACTGTGTATCATAATGAAAAGGTTTTGAAGGCTATGTGATCAGCGCGTGATATCGTATGGTTCGTCTCAAGTGCTTGTTATTTGAGGAGACACTGGCCAGAGTGCTTCAGGCGTGTAAAAAGAACTTTTTGTTTTACTGGCGCAACAGATGTTCTACTGGGCGAAGTTGTTCGAAGGACGATCAGCGCTTAACCCAGGTTTCTTTTTCTTTTGTTAAAAAAAACCATTTCTTTGGAGAATTTTCTCCGTTATTTTTAAGACTGTCCAATCATCAATAGTTGATGGCAAAATGAAGCCGGGTACCGAGTTCGATTCTCACCCGGGGCATGAAAATTTCCTTTGTTCGGTGGAGCTTATGTTCTGACATAGAAGTACTTTTAATTTCTACGTGTATAGTAAACAATATTATTTTCAGGGTTTGCGGTAACTCGTCTTTGCAGAGACTTCATTCTTTTCATCTCGCGCTGAATCGACCGTCCCCGTCTGTTTACTTCCCAAATTAATTCTTGGCCACTACAGCTAAAAGAACACTACTTTCATAAAAGAGCGTACATTCAGACGTAGACAGGGCTTACAGATGTTAAAAACTCGAGAAAACGTTCTGGTTTCGTGATTTTGCTCTTTCATATTTAAAAGAGTACATTTATAGCAGGAAAAAAAGGGATGTAAAAAAGTTCTAAATGAGGTATGTTGAAAGAAGCAACATTTGTCAATGGAAAGTATAGGAAAGGGTATCTTGTCTGTCAAAAATGGTACATAAAAGGGTTAAGGGGTTTGAACTCATATAAAACTTAGTTGAGACGCCCCTCCGGCTATTACTTCACTTGCTAAAAATGGTGAAAATTTAATAAGCGCCCAGCCTCGAATAAGCGCCCACTCTCAAGGTCCAAAAATTTAATAAGCGCCCAGGGCGGTAAATCGAATAAATACGGTATGATCTATAAAGTCAGTAAAAAACAGAGCGCAACGTCTTTGTTCTTATTTTTGCTGTAGCAGACGACGTTACATAATGTGGAACGTGACCTTCGTTTCTGCAACCCATGCTTGCTGCAAAACAATTGCGAGACATTTATGGTAGAGGCAGCTTCGTTTTCCTTCCCGCGCGATAACAAAATTGTGAGTCAATTAAGTAGCACGTAACATAATCGGGCTTACGCAGCAACGGTGGAGGAAGTTTTCCTTATTGAAGAAAACTTGCTCTTGTAACTGAAGGGCTTTAAGCCAGTTGTCACGCTATGATTTTTTGAAAGAAAAACGAAAAGATTAAAACTGGCTGAAAACCGGATAGATTAAAATAATCTGTTGCATCACCATATATTTTCTTTGGAAATAAATCGGGCATACAATCGCTGTGTGTAAACCAGCTTTCAAATAGCAAAACAAACAATGAAAATGGGTAAAAACATTTTTATACATTTTATTACTATTTTTATTCTACTCAACTAAGTCGGGCAATGCGAACGCCCAAAGACGAGTTTTAGTTTCTCTTTTTATAAAACTCAGACCCATTCCGTACGGTCTGGCATGAATTATTTCAGGGCACAAGCTCGCCTGTTAATTAATTTTAATAGCAACATAGTGGAGCCCCGCCATACGAACATCCGTTTATACGATCATCTCGTTATTACGACCATATTCTCTTGATTCAAACGTAGAAATCAGACTTCTTTTAATTTTTATTTTTTCGAAAATCACCCGTTAATGCGACCACCTCATTTTTACGACTAGGATTTTATGGCCCAATGGTGGTCACACTACCACCGTTTTCGTTGATACGCGACTTTCGAAAACAAAACACCCGCGGAAACGTTTCCAAAATTTCCGTCAATCATGCATGTTATCGACAGATCGAATCGAAATCCACCAATCACAGCCCGCTAGCATGACGTAAAGAAGGTCAGAAGGTCACACTAGTGGCTGTGATTGGTGGATTTCGATCCAATCTGTCGATAACACGCATGATTGACGGAAATTTTGGAAACGTTTCCGCGGGTGTTTTCTTTTCGAAAGTCGCGTATCAACGAAAACGGTGGTAACGGGGTTCCACTGTAGTTAATTGCTTTATGACTCCGGTTTGAGGATCGAGATTGACCTTCACTGAACTGAAACAAGGCTAATCGAGTAACAATGCCCTTAACATAAACTGCGTTCTGCACTTGAATATAAACATTTTTAACTTTTACTGTAAAGCCATTCTTAACCGCTTTAAATAACGTATTCACATCTATATCACAGTCATTAAAATAAAGTACAAGAACAGTTACGAATAAATAAGAACTTGTTTAAATAATTAACACAGTTTAGACTTGTTTCGTTCGGTAAGGCTCTTTTTAAAAAGCAAGACACCAAGATGCCGAAAAACAAAGGACATTATAAATAACCTCCTTCTAAATGCATTTATAGACATAATAGTCTGTTTACTTTTAAAAGTTACTTCATTCTATAACTAACAGAAAAACATTTAATTATTCAGTCCGCTGCACTATTAGCTTTCTACTGTATCCGCTTTACCTCCAGGGTCTTCGTCAAACTGAGACCTTTTCAATCCCAGAAATCTTAGAGCATTTCCGCCTAACAATTTATCCTACAACAAGAGATGGATTTTGAATTAAAAGGTTTTTATCTGAAGTTAGACTATTTACAGTGCCCTATTTTTTCGTAAGATCGACAGGATAGAGCGATAGCTTACCGGAACGGACGCTTATCTAGTAAACATGAACCGAGGGAGCGGGCGTCGGGCTTTACCTATCCAAGAATGCCGCCCGTAAACGCCCGACGATCTTACGGAAAATTAAGGGACTGTGAATCGAATGATGAACGGGAGATTTGATGATAGGCAAATACACCCCCCCCCTAGCAATTACTTCACCTATTTTCCAAAATAACAGGGAATTAATTGAGAACCATTTTGTTCGATCTCCACTAATATTTATTGATCAACTGTTGAATTGCCAAGTACATGTAGAACAATCTACTAAAGTGGGGTAGGACTAAACCTCTTCAAAAGAGAATTGGGGGGGGGGGAGGGGGTAGGGGGTGGGGATTATGTGGGATTCAAAGGCATGAGAATGAGCGAATTGGGACAAAAGTGGAAACCTGGGGAGAGGGGTGAGGCCTATTTCTCTTTCTCTTTCGTACAGTAGAACCTCGATATAACAAAACTCGATATAACGAAACCGTTTTCTGCCCCAGTTACAGTATAATGTATGGAAAAGAACCTCGATATAACCAAACCTCGTTTTAGCGAACGTCATCGAGGTTCCACTGTAATCAAACGATACCAATGTTTATAGAGAGGAGAAGTGTGACGTCACGTTACCATGGTAGCAAAATTTCTGGATCACAATAAGATGGAGTTTAAGCAACGACGACGACGGCGTTTTATCAATGGCAAAAAAAAAAAACACCGTGAAACTGAATGTGATTGTTTTCTTACCCTAAGTTCCAGGTCGTCTTTGTACACATTCTCGATGAGTTTTCCTGGATGATGTTCTCCGAGGGGAAACGGGTAGTCACTGCCTAAAATAACATTCTCCTACAAAAAATAATAATAATAATAAAAATACACATGCAGGGTAATGAGCCCACGATTGCTGCAACGAGAAAATTGAGAGCTTGAAGGTTTATTTTTTTTTTTTTGCTAGCATGCATTTCACAGTGTTTTAAATAGATCATAACCAAAAGTCACTGTACTCGTTACCTGACCAATGGTGTCAACCAGTAATTTAAGAGCTTTTTCATCATGAACGAGACTATCTGTATAAATTTGACCAATGTACTTTCTGAAACATACAATATTATAACGAATGATACATTTTGTGAGATTATAAAGAATAAATCTAACAAAAATCAATTTAACAAAATAATAGAGAAGGAAAGGGAAATCCAACAACTTATTTACAGTATAAAGCCTAAAAATTACGTGACATAGCTATTTACAATAAAAAGCCCTTACGTAATAGATAGAATTAGCCAGAATTAGCTAGGTATTGGTCGAGTTGCAATAAAGGTTGAACATGAACGGAGACAACAAAGGATAAATATTATGTCTGACTATTCCCATGTCTTGCAATCACTTGGCGAGTGTTCAAGTCCAGCCACAAGTCATTGATTAACAAAGGATGGAAAGTTACGATGTAGGAGTATTACAAGTGAACTGACCTTGGATTTATTGGATTCTCAACAGCACAGAGATCAGGTCTGACATTAAAGCCATGTTCAATACGACCGATAGTAAATGGAAATGCTCCTCCTGCAAGAAAACATTTAAAAAAGAAAGAAAAAAAAATTTTTTAAATATATATACATATTTGAAGTGAAAAAAAGCTAACTTTGTATAGAAGATATTCTTCAAGTGTCCTACAAGAGTTTTGCCTGCGTAGCTGGCGGAATAGACCTTTTTAGCTTGCATGCTTTGTTTTCCTAATTCAGACCACGTGATGTTCTCCAAGCATACATATGCACGTGGATTCACGTGCATAAAACAACACTTGAAAGAAAAAGTTCTCTGGGGCATCATTATGTTGTCTGAAATAGGAAAACAAAACAAACAAGCTAAAAAGTCTATTTTTTTTGCGTGCGTGCAAGTTTTGGCGGCGCGAAGCCGCCATTCTCGTAGCCTCCCACGCAGGCGTTTTTAGGGGAGCTCGTTTTTCGTCCCTCCCCACAAGCGCCTGCTCAACCGAAAACAATGTTGTTTTCAGTTGAGCAGGCGTTTGTGGGCAGGGATGAAAAACGAGTTCCCCTAAAAACGCCTGCGTGGGAGGCTACCATTCTCGCGGCTTAGCCGCAAAAAATGTGTCTCCTTCGCATTCTCCGCACGTTGCGTGAATGATCCCGCCGGCTACGCAGACTAAGGGCCTGTTTACATGGAGGTGGAGGACTCCAGTTAAGTGAGGTAACCCTCTTTAATAGGCGGGGTACCCGGCCTGTCCACATAATTAAGATCGTCTTTACATGATAGGTGGGGTGACCCGCCACATGTTATGTCACCTATCTGGGTTCTCTTACCTCTATATAAACAGGCCCGTAACAAGAGTTACAATGTTATGTACATGCACGAGCATGTGATAAGGCAAAACATGGTCTGCTCATGTTTACCTCCATGAGCAAAACACACTTTGAGTCTTGGATATCGTTCCAGAACACCACCAAAGATCATGCAACAGATCGCCTGTGCAGTTTCAGCAGGCATCCCTGCAAAAGTAACAAGGTCAAGTTTACCCCTGAAACCCTGATACTAACATGCATAATATACATCATTTTTTGAGAGGTCAAAGGTCAAGGTAACGGCCCTTTACGTCGGTAATAGTGCTCATTAGAATGACAAACCTGATGCCGGCGGTGTGCTTATTTTACCCGCCTTCTCTCCATCAGTGACTCGTTTTACAGGTATTAGAAAGGATATAAAAAGACTCCTTCAAAATTTTAAATTGTGTTGAAGATTCCGTAAAATTGGGTTTCACTCAGACAAAATCTTCCACTGAACAAGCCATCCACTTCAAGATGTACCTTAGGAAGTAAATTTTGAACGGTTCCCCTAAAAAACTCCAGCATTGCAACAGAGTTATATGCTTCTGGTACAACATATTTACTTACCAACAAGCCAAGGCAACCAGTACTTGGACATTCTTCCTCCTAACTCCATATCCCACGGATGAACAAAGATAGCACAGCCTAATTCCTCAGCAGCCTACATGTAATAGACAACATCTTTGTTTATATAATAAATTGGTCAATTTTTGGATGAAAAATGCAATGTAGAAGCATACTCAGGATGTTGGGGAGAATAGGTGGGCTGAGTGCAGGTTATGTTACAGGTCACATTTGATTTCAAGTTAAAGTTTTTAAACCGAGATTATTCTCACTTTTCTTTGAGGAAAGTGTGAGCCAATGTATATGAAATTAAAGGAAATTAACCTGCTACATAATGATTTACAGATGTGGCACACTGCCATGGACTCTGATGTCATCTCCTTGGGCCTTGTTTAGACCTACATGTGCTACGCAGTACACATGAGCAAGTGAAATAAGACCATACATGTATGATTTATACGAAGGTATATGGTGGCTCTGACACTAAATGCAGACATTACTAACATTTTGATGAGACAGAATGCACTGATAATAAAAATTACTTACAGCAAACACAGGATCTAGTTCTGGAGCATCAAGATTCCAGTTGTTAATATGGCTACCAATTTCAACACCTGGGAAACCAAGTTCCTGTCATAATTTTATTAGAGACATTAAAACGATATTAATAACATAAATGTAATAATTGTTATCAATAATAATTATTATTAATAAAATAAGCAACAATTAATATTATTAATATCAAAAATAAATTTATCAAAAGTAACCTGATACTTCGAAAATCAAAACTATGCTAGAGAAAACATTGTAGTAGACATTCAGTAAAGCTGAACTCTGGCAGTACCCAGTTGTCCCTAGCAATTAACTAAATTTTCACTTCTGGTGTCGAGACAAAGCATTATGCTATCTGCACCTGCACCTGCACCTATCCCATAGTCAATGACCGTTGGGGTGCCACGGATATAGCAAACCTCTCCCCCCATTTGATTTTGTTTTCAGCTTCTCTTGTGGCATTGCAAAACTTCAACCCTGTCCACTCAGAGATTATTCTCCCAACGCTTCTTTGGTCGGCCCCTTCTTCTCCCTCCTTGCACTGTTCCTTGTAAAATTGTCTTGGCAAGCCCTGATGATCTTGACACATGCCCAAACCACTTTAACTTGCATTTCTTTACTGTGCTATATAAGGCACTTAATTACCAAATGCCAAAACTGGCCAGCTGAATTGTGGTCAAATTGATAGTGAAACACAAGTCGGTTTGTTTCAACGTTTTTTTAAAAAAAAAAAAAAACAATCCCCGCCCTGCCCAAATGTACAGTTTACTTTGGAATAGACCGATCTGGCAGAACTGTCTCGATTCACAATGATTGCGTTTAGGCTGGACTAGTCCAACCTACCCTGGGTGCACTGCCAGAGGATTTTTTCTAATGCATGCAGCAGGATGCTAAAGTGTTCGCCAGGTTGACACATTTTTGGCTAAAGGTCGAACAAGTGATAAAGCTGCATGTCAACCACACATGAAAAGTCTCTAGCAATCTGGGTAACCCAGCAGCCTCTAGATTTCCCACAAACTCAGTGCTGGCAGCCTGGATTTCAACAATGATCATAGCTTCTGGGCTGCCAATAAATTTTCCTTAGGGCTCAGCCTTCATAAGTTCTAAATAACAATCACCTTTACACATCTCGTCAGTTCTTGAACTGCAAGTTCTGGTGCCTGTAAAACAAGATTAAAATTAATTATATTTCCCACTATTGACTGCTTACAAAATAAAAAATTAATATATAATAATTATATATTTTTATTTTGTTATTTTGTTATTATTATAATATTATTATTATTAATTATACAGCATGATGTAAGTTGTCCAGACTTCAAACAAGTTTTAAGTATATATATTTAAAAGTAAGCTAATGGGATTACTTTATTAAAACTAAAAATAATAATTTAAATAATAATAATAATAAAACAAACAGAAAAAAATCACATCCTGTTTCTTTGGGCATTTGGAACAACATAACAAGCTTTTTGATCTTTTTAAACCAGATTCTTACATGCACGTGCGCACACAAATTAACAACTTAAGGAAGTGAGGAGCACTTTTACAGAGTGGGTGTCAATCAATGAATGACTGTAAAGATTTAGATAACGCATGGCAACTGGTAACTAAATTCCAAATCAAACCTGCATCGGAAGTGTTCCAAGTCCAACAAATCTCTTAGGATACTTCTTCACAATTTTAGCAAGATCATCATTCAGTATGCAGCACAAATCCAGTGTATCTTCAGGCTTAGCCTTGATAACATGAAACAAAATGACGCATTTATGAGACTTTTACAGCCTTGAATATCAACATTGGTGAGAGCCCTAAAAGCTAAGACACTGTAAAGCCTGGTTCTCATATGCCGCTGACGTATATATGCCTCCAGTACCACCTGGCCGTGGGCTACTTCTAGCACGAATGAAAACATGCGCCACTGGCAACTGGAGTCATAGCAGTATTTTACCGCTGGAATGCTTGCGAAGTTGAACTGGAGTCAACTAAGCAGGCATGCCGGCAGTAAAGGCTAGGATGACCAATGTTGCTGGCCACTTCTGTTCTCATATTGGAGCAGTATCCCAGGAAGTACCTGCGGCTATGTCGCAGATGCATCGGTGGCATATGAGAACCAGGCTCAAGAATGGAATACTGTACTTACAGAGTAAAGGTATTTTTTTAAGGCCCTTATCAATCTTGCACCATATATTACATCAGAGGGACATTAACAATGTCTAATTATTTCAATCAAAACATGAATGTACAAGAAATGCAAAGCATAATTTGATCCTCCATAGGTTAAGACTAGTATAGCCAAGAATGCATTCAAAATTAATGTTCGGACGACTTCATCACCCATTCGTTAAAGACAACAGGCCATTTGAACAGCTTGGTCATCCGTATTATGGCATCCCTTGGAATTATTTTTCTGTCGAAGCGGATATGGAAGACGGGTAACGTGATGGGCAACCTTTGACAAGTATAAACATAGAAAAGCTATCTGTTCGAGTTCGCTAACACGCCGAATTCACTGGCTATGTTAATTCTCAGTTTTAAGTTCGTTTTTATCCACAAACCACAAGCAATATCTATAATTTATACTCCCTATCTCAAATTTAACTCTGTTGCCGTAAAAAGATGAAGCTTTTGATATAGATCAATCGATTCCTCATAGGAATCATGTCCGTTATTCCATCTATCTATAGATCTACATGTATTGCATGACAAATTTCAAAACAAAGCTCTTTCCACATGCATACCCAGTAGCTAAACATCACTGGAACAGTAGAGACCACTTGAACAGTAACACCTGAAAGTGGAAAGATTTTAAACTCCCTAGTCAGTAATCAATCTAAACAAGGCTGCAGTCACATTAATGCTGAGGTACAATCAAACACAAAGTGCCTGGGTAATGGCGAATTGTGAAGTGTTGGGCACTCTTCTCCGTGTACATGTGTTGCATGTACATAATTATACATGTGCTCCACTTTGCAAGCTGTCACTAGATATAATTTTGAAAGGTGAGACTGGATTATGGTCAAATTGCCTAATGACCAATGATAAAATAATGCACAAACACATGGAAATGGTCCTAACTTACTTGCACACAAGGTCACTTAACCTGTCTTTGAGCATTACTGTCACCACTAAATGTTTATGCATGTGTTAGAAAACAATTAATTGCGCACAATCACACCATAGCATTTTAACAGATGCATTGTAATAACATTCATGGTTGAAGCTAAGAAAAAGCTGAGCAAGCTTTTTTATTAGTTAAGCCAGCTTTTTAACTCAACAGTACCTTTAGAGTTACTAAATGTCGTTGTTTTGCAAGCTGGTGCTAAGCTCTTTTTCAGCCGGTGAAATTACAGTGTAGCTAAAAGCCAGCTTTTCGCAACATCAATGAAAAATAATGTTACCACACTCACATTATAAACACACATTATGGCTCAAAATTAATGTTATCCCTGGTTTCTATGAATTGTATTCACATATTTGAGCATAAAACAAAGGGAAGTAAAAGTTAAACCCCAGGAATAACAATTTACCATAACATACATGTACACAGACCTGTCACATCCATGTCTTTGATTCGTGCTTCCGGAGACCAGCAGTTCTCATCTATTTCACGAAAAAGCTTTCCATCTTTCATCATCTTAGCTTTGCCCTAAAATACAAAGAAAGATAACCAGATTGTAAAAATATCTACAAAAAACCCGCTTATGAGGCAAATGGTTTAAAAACAGCAAATGTCTGAGTCATTTCCTCCCAGTAATTGTGGCTAGATTTATGCTTTTTGCCCAACAGTCCTTTGACACTGCCTAAAATATGCTCAAACTGTATCTAAAATGTGCCTTAACAATATTTAAAACATGCCTTAACAGTGCCTAAACTGCATACCTTTACATGTTTATTTTTTCCCACGCTCTGGCACAAAAACCGTGCCTTTTCTTGAGCGTGAATCATGCATAGGCACTGAGCTACACTTGTGTACACCAGTAGCGTGCACCAAGCCATCATTTTAAACTTTTAAGTTTAAATGCTTACTTTACAGTGATGATGAAGTTGTATCCAACCTCCATAACCATATCGCTGCAAATAAAAAAACTCCTTTTAGCATTATATGCACATGAAGGCACTTGTCACTATTATTATTTACATGTAAACTGAAACTGTCAAGCACAATTTTGTGGCTTTGCTATCATTTCCATTATCTTGTGACAGGGTGAGCCAAAATCTATGTCTGATTGTCCGCGACAGGTAGAAATTTACTTCAGACATGTAAACCTCTGACATGACTTGTCTGTAGGACAAACTTTGTACATTTTTAATCAGAAAAAATACAGAAACATCAAATTACAGTAGAACTAAAATACATCTTATACTCATAAAAGCAAGCCTCATACTTGACAAAATAAGGTTAAGTATTCCTTATAACTTTGCCATTCTGCGGCCATTTCATTTGTTTTATGAGCTCCAATTGGCTAAATATAAGGAACCTGGCCATAGTAACCAGGCCTGTTATGACATAACTCATTCCCAGGCTCAAAATTCAAATTGTGCTTGACATTATATTAAGGTTTAAGTCAAAAACAATTTACAAAGCTAAAAATGTGTGTTACTAAAAACATTAAATGCCCAATTGTTTTGAGTTTCAAGCAAAACGTTTTGGACGAGAACACTTGGGTTTCGGACACCTACATTATTTTAATGTAGTGCTTGTCCGAAGGACAAGTGGATAAGAAAATTTTTCTCTTGCTCTGTCGTGATGAACATCACTAGAAAACACTGGTAAGAAGGACATAAGTGCTGAATAGACTGGATGTATTAAAAACCCCTCAAAATTGACAGGAATTCTCTCTATGCTTTACAGGGAAATAAGTGTGAGTACATCAAGTATTTTGTGGCTGTGGGCACTAAGTGTGTCAACCAACAAACAAGCAAATAGCATTGTAAATAATGAGGTGGAATAATAAAAATGATCATCAAGGTGAGTGTATTCCTGAAGAGCACTGTTGTCGACAGTGACTAACATTTCAACAAGCAGTGGAGTAGTCATCTTCAGAGTCAAAGTGAGTTGTTTTGTGCCAATTGATGGCATTGAACTCTGGTTGGTCTATTAAGTCGCCATTTTATTGGCTGTCTGTCAGTTATGCATCAGTCAATTCCCGTTACATGTACGCCCATCCCCCCCTCCCTTATCAGGGTTAATGCGCAACTGCCGGGTATTTTGCTCGTCTTGTCAGTCCCAGGGGTGGGGCATTAGCAAATTTAGCGCGGCCCGGGGAGTTGGGCATTTGCCAACCCCGCAGGAACCCCCAAGCTTTTGACATGCATGTGGTTTTCTCTCCAAATACAACTGAACATGGATGATTCTAGTTGGGGGCATGGGCAGGTGGAATTTACTGATGCATTACGACTATAAGGCCTCCAACATGTCATCGGTCTCTCCCGGATGATCATATTCCACCTTCTTTCTATGAAATGAATTTTGGGTACCTTTCACTGCAATATTGTAACAAGCTTAAAAACAACTTCTAGAAATTTATTTTTTCTTTTAAAAAGTTTTTCAAAAAGTTATACAACTGCACAAATAATAAAATTATAGAACACTGGCTGGTAGAAGAGAAAATTAGCAGCTGCAATTACAGAGAAAGGACTATATAATACTAGTTGTACATAGCTTTCGCTAAGTGCTAACGAAAGAAAAAGAATTTGCCTACATCACCAGTTTTAGTCCCAATGTTTATAAAACCATTTCAGCTGCTGAGGCGAGAATTTCCACTACAAGCACTCCTCGTTCCTACATTTCTGCCATGCTCTTGGCCTTAAAATCTTATTCTTCTGCAAATTAGACATTTTTGAACCTTAAACTTGTTGCGTTTCATACAGCGAAAGGGAAATAACATTTATAGGTTAGCCCGAACCCCAGGGGGGAGGGGGGTACTCCCATACATTTACCTATACGGGTATGTGCCACCCAACAGGGTCGTGATTTTGAAGCTCCTGATTTAGAACGGGGTATCCATTTCAGAGGCGTTTTCTAGAATGAGGTATAAAAGATTATGGATCACAGTTTTATCTTCTGCTTAAAATTGTCGCTGATTATGAAGAAGCATTTATTTGATGTATAAGTTGAACAAATAAAGAAATATCTTTGCAAAAACAGGGCTATGTCAATTTACAAACTTTCTAGAATGGAGTATAAAAAATTGGCCCATTTCTAGAATGGGGTATCAGTTTTAGGGCGAATTCTAGAACGGGGTATAAAAAATTGGCCCATTTCTAGAACGGGCTATCAATTTTAGGGGACGTTTTTTTTAGAACGGGGTGCCAATTTGGAGACCCGGGTGGCACATACCCACCCAAAAAATACCCAAGTGCCCCCCTCCCGGGGCGCGAATTTGAAATAGCGAGTTGTAGTCCGTACAAGTACAGTAGGTTTGTTTACAACAAAGGTCATCAAAAGTCACGTGAAACTACACGTGAAATCTAACGCTACTAAAATATCCAGGGAATCTACACCTTACATTACACTTACATTACACTTTTTACAGCACGATCAATAATTTTTCTGCCTGCTGCAATACTTCGCGTCGCAAGCCGACCGTCTCCGCTCGGCTTGCTCGTTGACAATTACTTACGATGTAAGAAACTAGATGTTAATTAGCCATATTTATACTAGAGGACGTCTAAGACGTCTTAGACGACTTAGACGTCTAGTATAAATACGGAAATTAAACGTGTGACGAATAAAACGTCTTAAGTTATTAACTTAAAGTACGTCCGATCGACGCACTTAACAGATGAATTAGTCGTCTCAGACGTTTAAGACGTCTAGTATAAAAACGGGACGCACTTAACAGTCAGACGTTTAATGCGTCTGAACGTCTAAGACGTCTTCTAGTACAAATACGGCCACTGACCGTTTAAAATAATCTTTTTGTTCGGACACACGTAAACAATGCATGCATGAAGCCAACATCGGGGTCAGTAGTTCATCTTACACTGTGCTCTTACCTCCTTTAGATCTGGCCATCTTTCCGGTAAAATATGATTATGGATATCAATTTTAAAAGCCATAACGTTTTAGAGCTATATTTTACTGACAAAATCAGCGAAAAGCAAGTTTTAAACCAGCATTTCAACGATTTCGACACAACAAAGTCTGCGGAAAGTGTTTCTGCTCTTTCTGCTCTCAGTTAACTCTCCCCAGTTTCCCTAGTCCTATTTAACACAGAATACCCAGCACTCCGCAGCTCAAGTAACTTTGAAGTGGTATGCCTGTTTTCCTGTTCTAGGGGCTGGGGAGGGGCGCGTGGGGGGACTATCGGGTACATCGGGTACTTACCATCAACACGAGGAAACAAACAAACAAAAAAAGGATAAAAATAAAACAGAAACAAAAACAAAGCCAAAAAAGATAAAAAAAAAAGAAAAAAAAAACACACTCTTCTAAATTAAACAGTCTTACTGTATGTTAGAAGGAGCCCATCAATTAAAGGGGCTCCTGATGTTAGTTGAAAATAGGCTCTTGCCGATTGTGCTAGCATAATTTTTGGCATAATCTGAGGAATTGAGCATAATTTTTGCCCTTTTTCCAAAAGTAGCACTGCTAGCATAATCCGTATGTTTTCTTGTCTTAATAGCACAATTTTAGAATAATGCAAGAAAACGAAGATCTCGGCTACTAAAAACGATAGATTACTATTAACAGTTGCTTCCACTCCTATTTTTCGATTTTTTTTTACTTGTGTTGAGATACCGCGGGAGTTCGATGAAACGGAACCGGAAGTCTGTGTCTCGGTCCCAGACTCCTTAGTCTTTCTCCCAGTGCTCGTTTCAAAATGGCGGCCGCCACGCCAAACCAGTCAAGTGCAGTGAACTTACATCCAGATAGTTTACAAGGTTGCGAGAACAGAGAGGATAGACCAAAGCCTGCACGACTTGCCCGGGATAGACGCCTCGAATCCACCACACTATCCAGGCTTTGTGCAACCTACTTTTGTTCGCTGGATAACTATCCGCTGGATAGCAGATTTATTCGCCGTATAGGCCCAACCACCGGATAAAGTTACCCAGGTTTTGAACAACCGGGCCCAGAACGTCTGGCCAGGGTTAATAAAATACATTTTCAAACTTGTCTTGTGAGTTGTGAAGTTTGTGCACAGAATAATTTTTTAAAAAAGTAGCATAATTTTGAAAAGCGAGCATAATTTGAGCATAATTTGGGCAAAAAACGAGCACTGCCACTAGCATAATATGCCACTTTTACTAGCACAATCGGCAAATGCCTAGTTGAAAAGTCCGAATATCTTGACGAATGGTACGGTTATCTAGAATTTTTGAGCATTACTGTGTCTGACTCGATATCTCTCGGTAAAATTTGCTCTTTTGAACACTTATTTAGGGAAAAATGTTGCTGACTGCCCAAGGTTAATGCACTACATAAGACTTACACAGGAGCCCATCAAATGGGCTCCTGACTTCCATAAGAATTCTTTCCGGCAGCCGTTATCAGCTTTTGCGCACTTTGGAAGAGCGCGGCTTCAGAGGTCAGGACCAGTCAGTGTTTCGGGAGTTATTTCAATTTCATAGCAGTCAGCTCAGTATTTTAACTACAAAAATCATCGGGTCTGACGGATATATTTAGGGGCGTCCGGAACCCTCCGACCCCTCTGGACCTGCCGCTGGTTATCTAGCCTCATGTATGAGTGATTTACCAAGGATGGGGAATTTCGGCCCAAGGGCGGTGCGTAGCCTGCGTTCGATTCAATTTTTAGTGACAATAATCCCAACCCCATTGCAAACACGAGGCACTGAAGAGTCATCAAATAGAACATCGATTCATTCAGTTGACTGCGGCACGAGCCGGTTGAAGCATGTTTTGAAAGACCCCTTGAAAATGTAAATTTTTAATAGAGACCCTTTTTTGTGTCTTTTATAGAACCCTATAGAAACACGGTAGAGCCAGTGACCCCGCGATGATTTTGAGATTTCAACAATGTCGAAAAAAGAATAAGGGCAATTATTATCCAAGAAAAAGTTGAGCCTTATGCCTTTCAGAACGTCAAACCTTGACCCTTCAGTTTCCCCCACGCCTTGATCAGTTTTCCCCGTTCAACTTTTGACTCGTATTTTTGTATGTTCTAGTTTTGATCATATTTTTATTCATTTCAACAGCTGTATAGATTAGTACAAAAAATGGAGAAATAAAAAATATATACATCTATAAATAGCAGTTCTCAAATCTTTAGTCTCTTTTATCTAATTTTCTATTTTTTTTTACCATATACTTTGGTATAAGATGATTCACAGACTACTTCCGGTTTGTGACAAAATATTGATGGCCTCTTCCGCAGGCAGCTTGTCATGTCAGGGCGTGGGAAGAGGCTTATCTGCATAGTTGATGAGCTTCTTTATTCTCATTAACGTACCCATACAAATCTCTGAATAAATCTTTGGAAGAATTTCAAAACGTATCTTTATTACGAGGCGTTGCAGCTTGTTGGACGTGATTATCACATTCCAAACCTTGATCTAATCTTTTCTACTCCATACTAAGTCAAAGGTATTTAATTTTGAAAGGTAAAGAGAAGTTTGAAGTTAATCAGTAAATACTTTGATGACCGCAAGGGCATTGAGCCAGTTACGGAATGCTTGTGCTGGCGTGACCAGACCTTCAACAGAATGAAAGAATCATACCGCTTGACGCTGAACGTTCACTGACGCTGTGTATATAGCTGCTTGTATGATTGTAAAGAAAAGACGCCCTGGGAATCCACAGGTGAGTCTTTTATCTGATAACACTCTCGGCTTTTGTTGGCAATTAGAATGTTGTTAAGGAACTCAATGAAAAATGTCGCTATCAAGGACAGAGCGACAGCGCGGTTTGTTATCGCTCCGGTCGCGCGTCTGTCTTTGGCTTGTTTATTTCCTTTCTTTATTTTAGTTAATCCTGTTGCTTGAGTTATTCCACTTTAGTTCCGTGCATTTAATGACTACGACATAACTAAACCCGTGGAAACACTATCTTGAGAGTCAGTTGTATGAACCCCACTTTTTTCGACGACAGCTCACTCTGAATTCGACTTTGAGCATGAAGAAATATTACAACTGTTAGGAAATACCAGACTGAGTTTCTGTTGGCCGACCAGCTGTTGCTTATGTATTTGATCCGTAATTAACCGGTTAAAAGGTAATTTATTCATCTGATCATGAAATTGAACCACAAAAGTCAATTCATTTCGAAGAGTTGTCCACTGTTTCTCAAGACTCCTCCAACGCGCTACGGGTCCATCTTTCCCTTGAAGTTTTATTCTGGATTCGCGGATTTATGTTCCCCCCAAAAAGGTATTGCATTTTTTATGAAACGGAGCGATCGAATTTTGAAATGGCTCTCCTAGTGTGACGCTTGATCTTCGCATCTTTTGAAGTGCAAAGTAAATTTTCCGGCGGTTTCAAGAGAATGTAAGGTCAGTTCCAGGTCGGGAGTTAAAATATTGAAGCCTTGCGTTTAGGGTTTGTTCGTTTATTTCATGGCAATTTTTTTTTCTCTGTCTGACAGCTAACCTTCAACCACATTTACATGTAGCTCTTGTACATTGTCACGTAATTTGAACAACAGGTTTAAAGTGTGAACAAACACATTTAACAACACGCTCCTTTTGTGAGTATGTGGTCCTTGTAATGTTTTATTTAGACCGCGTTCTCATAAAAAATTACTACAATGCTGTCGAGCTCGTAAGCTTTTTCTTTGAATTAATTTTAATCGCCTAATGGCGCTAAATGATGGCTGGTGAGAATATCACATTAAACCTGTCTAGCTTCTTGTATAAAATTCTTTAGTCTGTTTACGTGTACTTTTTTCTTTGCAGGAATATAATGCATAGATTCGCTCTTCTTTTTAACCTTATGGTTTTGGGCTTATTTTCTCAAGTTTGTGGTATGTTCATATCTTTATTTTCTGTGGTTTACCCTTAAATGTTTACGATAACAAAAAAAGAGAAAGCCTTGCTTCGGCCTTCAAATCTGTCAAAGAAACCCCTAAAAGTTTTGTTTTATAAATACTAAACAAAGAAAAGCGCTAGCGTGGACTGATTTTAAGGAATCACTTTCCTTCAAGGCGTCGATTTTTTTTGTCACGATTGGAAATTATTCATCTTTTTGTTCAAAAGAAAATATCTTTTGTGACAGATATTTAAATAATGAAAAAATCACGGTCGACAGGTGATCATCTTCTTTTGTCAAAATAAGAAAAACAAGATGATATCAGGAAAGGAAAAGCGTTTCTCGTTTCCCGAGGATAAAGTTTTCTGTATTTCGCTGTTGGGGGCAGAGAAATGCAATTTACCAGTGGCATTTATTGATTGAAAAAAGGTATTTTTCCTTTTTCTTTTACCCCCTTTCTCTTTTTTTTGTGGTTGTTTTTGTTTTTCATTTTGACTAATGAAAATTAAAATGTTGCTTCTTTCTTTGAATGTAAACAACTGCCAGAAATAAATAAAACTTCAATATTTGCTTAGCATTGTGGTTTCAGTTGAAAATAGACAATTTCATTTAAATGTAGTTGTTAGATTAAGCTGACTTTGATTTTTAAGTTATCAAATTTTTAATGGTTTAGTATACCTGTAAAATTATTGTAAATTATTAAAAATGATTTTGTTAGTCTGTCTATATATTTTGCTATTTACATTTACTTGTTTTGAAGTTTCCTGTGATTTTATCTATGAAGACTCTATTTTTGTGACAACCATTATTTTATTGGAAAGTCTGGATTTTGCTGATGAGTTTTATTTTTGGATTTCCCAACAAAAAAGCAGAATTATCTAAAAATATATTTTGAGGCTCTGAAATCTTCTTAGGAATGGATAATTTTCAGTTTTGAGAAGGAAAAATGCAAAATCCCTTTTGGAAAATCTGAAGATCTATCATGCAGTAAGGTGTGGGTGTCCAAGGTTAGAAGGTTTTGTGACAATTCATAGAGTTCCTTTCTTTTTGTCTTGGGTTTTCTAACTGTTGCTGCAAGATCTCAAAATCTTGGCAAGGATTTCATTTTTCACTATCCGTTATTGTACAGTAGTTTCTGTAGTAAGCTCTAATGATGTAATAACATTAAAGTACTGGCCTCCCCATAATTGGCACCAACCCCTTGAATAAACACTTTCTTACGTAGTTAGATTAAAAAAAAAATTATCACTGGTATGATGAAATTTGCCCACAGCTTTCATAGTTAATTTTTGAACATACATATTAACAGCGAGGAATGCTGGACAGTGGTTGCCTAGGTAACACGTTTGGACACCCTTATCAAGAACGCCTTGATGCATCTCTGATAATTAAGTTCAAGGAGGGCCTTGTTGTTCATAATGTATATTGAGACTACTAATATAAACTGCCAATAAAATACTATTTGTTCAAGTGAATTTTCGTTTAGACTTTATCAGAATAAAACAGATTATGTAACAAATATGGAGGGGAAAACGTAATACACGCCTCCCCTCAATAAAGTACCGCTTTTACCAATCCCCCCTCCCCCTCCCTAGGAGTTTATTCCAAGAAACAAGGGTATACATGGGTATACATGTACAATTGTGTAGTGTTTCATTTCATTATTTTATAATTTACTCGTAGGGGTTAAGAATATTCCTAACTGCAGGCAAATAGAGTCGTCATGTGGTGAATGTATACAAAATATTGATCCTCCATGTTCTTGGTGTGAAGATACTGTGAGTACTCTTTGTTTTTTTTTAGTTGGTTTGTGGATTTCATTCTTAATGTGGGGTAATTTTTTAATTCCGATAGTTTTTTGGTAGCAGTTGTCCCTTTTCCTTTGTAAATGATTTAGTTTTCTGATAAAAGAAGGCTGCTTTTCTTTTTTAGTTAGAGCCAGTTATTAACTACTGAAATATTCTGGCAATGAGCTCTTTAACTGTCAATTATTAATTTGTTGAAATTATTGAAGGGTTTTACAACATGGATGGCTTTAAAGGGAATTTCCTTTGGTTCAAAAATAATAACAGCTTTTGACCTTTGTGGGGGCTTTTTGTTTGCATAGGAGTATGTTTGGTTAGAGCAACCAAGAGACAGATGTGATACACATGCTAACCACACCAAAAATGGATGCAAGAATATAGCGAATCCTAAATCCAAATTGGTTACAAATGAAGTAAGTTAATAATTCTGTAAGTATACTATAATAAGATAATAATTTATTAGCCTAGCTTATAAGTTTGGCTGTAAATCTCTTTCTTAATGTGCAAACTCTTGTGAGAATACAGTAATGTTCAAAACTAAGTTGACAGTCTGTTGTGAGTCTCGATTCTCGACTCTCATTTCCTGCACAAATCAGAAACGTAAAAATTCCAAAAATAAGCCCCTGGGCTAATATTTTTCAAAGGCTTTTTTTGAGGGGCTTATATTCGGAGGGGCTTATCTATGGAGGGAAATTTGAGTTTCAAAATCGATTTGGCTAGCCTTATAGATGGAAGTAAATTTACCATTTTTGCTTCGTTTTACTTTGTATTTGAGGGCAATTTTCCAAGTACAAGCCCCCAGGGGGCTTATATTTGGAGGGGCGATTTAACGGAGGGTTTTTTGCGTTACCGGTTTGGGGGGCTTATATTTGGAGGGGCTTATACACGGAGGGGCTTATTTTCGGAATTTTACGGTAGTTATTGAAAAAGGAGTCTCAGGAGACAGAAAACAGTACATTCAACTACAGTGTATGTTTGATGATCTCTCAATAATTTTATAACACAACATACAGTGTAGTTTATGCCTTAATTTCTCTAATATTCTAATTGCAAACAATAAAATTAATATACAGTGCAGCTCAGAAATAACCATTCAAAAATTTGCGCACAAATCGCATGTGCTTAATTTGTGTGTACGCATCTGCATCCGATCAGTGTGCATCCACTTTAGATGCGTCTGATTAGTATGTATGAGCTTAGCTTATTGTCTACTTACTGTTCTTATTTTGGTGTTAGTTTTATTGGACTTTATTGTAAGTGAATGGATCTTAAACAATGAAAGTAGATTTGGGCAACTGAGCAACTGTATGAAAGTAGACTGATACATTTATCTACCTATAGCGTGACTCAAACATTTTTTTAAACAAGTCCTGACATCATCAGGACTAAATGAATTCATGCACATCTGTAGTTGAAGCATCTTGTACTTTAAAACTGAAAAGTTTCTATTTTAAGAAAGGGTTCTGAAATGAACACTTATTTCATAAAGTAAACCTATTTCTCTACCTAGTCTGCTCGCAAAACTTTCAATGACATAAATTTATAAAGCACAATTAGCAGCGTGCAAAGAAAGTAGTGTCCTATAGCCCGGGGCTAGTGGATTTTGCTATCAGGCTAGTGAATTCTGTTCTTAACTTTCCCAACGGGCAAGTGAATTAGTATTTTGAGGAATTCAACTTACAGAAGAACTGTGAAATCAATTCTGCTCATCAAAAAATTTTGGGGGCTAGTTGACTAGTAAATGCTAGCTTCAGCTTGCGCGAATGGCAAGCTGTAAAAATGACTTTCTTTGCACCCTGATTAGTGTCAGTCATTTGGCTACAGCGAAATTAGCTAAGACCTTGGCTGCATCACTTTGTACTTATAAACATTCACAGAACATATTTCCCAAAGAGTCAATAGAGCGAGCAATGTTTATTGGGAAGATATTTAAACTTACCCATCATTAATTATAGCCAACATTTTGTGTCTTTGACAAAACATGAATCAATCAATCACTCAATCAATCAATCAATGAATCAATCAATTTATTTTGACACATAATGTCGAGGAGCTAAAAAACTCGTTCTATAATAATTACAGTTATTTTATAACATTATTCTATTAAGAAAAACAACTCAATAAATATATGAAAAGTTAGTAATAAAAAGATAAAATAAAAAAAGCTAAAACCTACTAAAAAGCCATATACTAAAAACAATACAGGAATTAGTACGTATTCAATTTTGGGGGGGTGTGAGGGGAAAGGAGGTGGGGTGGGTGCTTATTCGAGGTGGAGGCTAATGCGAGGTTGGGCGCTTATTCAAATAAATGCGGTATAATAAGCTAGGTTAAAATTATGCAATCATTACAAACTTTTGTGTGCTGTTTACTTTGCCATATGTAACTGATTCTCGTTGATTAGCACATAATATACAACCGAGGCAAGTGTAGGCTTACAATCAACTGACTTCTTGGTGCCTTTGCGTTACATTTACTACCTGCAGAATATGCAAATTATCTCTCGTTTGGGTGCCATGAAACTTTGACTACGATGTCAGCTGCCCTGTATCTTGTTATTCACTTGTAGGATAGACAACTTGATACAGATGTCAAGGTGAAACCACAGAATGTTACTCTGTCACTTAGACCAGGTGAGTGATAATTATTAATTGCCATATAATAATTATGGAGCGATCGTCTTTTTCTCATCAGAAGGGAGACTAGTGTATGTTACAGGTCAAAATTAAACTCAAGTTAAAATTTTTAAACCAACATTAATTCTCAATTTCCTTGTTAAACTAGAGTTAAATTTTAGCCAATTTGCTCTGTCTTCTAGACCTGACTATTCATGAGTGATTAGGACTAGGACATAAAATCAACCTAGGTTAGAAAATTTTATTCTGAATTCTTGTTTTGCCTATAACATGTACACCTGCATAAAAGGCTACATTATATGTGTTATTGACCATGAGTGAGGTCCAGGTTGCTTGAAATTATTATTGACAAGTTTCCTTTTTTTTTCATTTTTATTGACTGGCAGAGATTTAATAGTCTGTACATGTATTTGCATAACTGTGATGAATATTACACTGTATTTCATGGTTCCACAGGTCAACCAGCCACAGTTAAGGTTGTCGTTAAGATGCCAGAAAATTATCCGGTAGATTTGTATTATTTGATGGACTTATCAGGTTCCATGGTAGAGGACCTTAAGAAGTTTCCTGCCCTTGGAGAGAGTATAGGTTTGCAACAATGAATTGCATTTTATGTGTACAGTAGTTCTCATTTGCCACCAACATACCTGCAGTATAATCACAGGTTAATATTAAATGGCTAAGGTACTGTTTTGATCTGAGAATACATGTAGAATTTCGAAATCACCAGATGAGCTATCCCATTTTTTGCTGCAGCATGCCTGACCTCCAATTGAAGTGAGTTAACTTCAGAGGCATGCTGGCAGTAAATATCTGTGGTGGTTTTTGCTCGGACCAGTGCATAATTATTTCATTCTCATATGCCAGAACAGTATCATAGCCAGTAACAGTACTAGTGGCTCTTTCACAGGTTCAGTGTACAGTAGGTTGATTGGCTGCATACATTGTACATGTACATTGTATATAAAACATAATACAATTAACGACTGTAGTTCATCTTCAACAATAAAGATCTTGTAACACATCTATTTCAAAACACACTAGGCTCTCCTCAAAGGAAATATACTGCTCACAGGATGTCTTCGTGATTCCTCCACAAATCACATGCTAAAACATAAACCTAAATAAGTCATTAAGGAAAAGATCAAAGCTCTGCCAACTGCATTTGTTTCGTACAGTCATGCAAAAGACATTGTTTTGATAAATTATGCTCTGGTCTCATACTGTATAATTTTATACTGGTACAATGTGTGTTCTTAATTTTATAGTTGTTGTTGTTTGTTTTTCTTTTATTTACTTTATTTGACAGCAAAAGAAATGAAAAACATCACATCCAATTTTCGTCTTGGTTTTGGGGGATTTGTGGACAAGCCAAGAGCTCCATATATTGACACTCAACCTCAAAGGTAAGTACTATTTGTTTTATCAGCTCATTTTTCTTGTGTACATTTGTGTATAGTTTTCGTTTCATGACCCAGCCACTATAAGCGTTACGTAGCCTGCGAGCAAGCTCTCCTATTTGGGCAAGCGAAGCGAGCCTCGCGAGAACGCGCGAGCGAGACTCGTTTCACTCGCCCAAATAGGAGAGCTTGCTCGCAGGCTAACTTACAGTTAAATAACTTTGCTTTTTATTATTTTTTATTTTTTTATTATTTTCTTTAATCAAGAGCACAAGATTGTTAATTTGTTGCTCTTGTTATCAAGGGAGGGCCACAAGTTTACCAGTTCTTAACTGTAATCTAATGTGTCACCCTTGGTAAATAATGTCATTCATTCATCCATTCATTCAAAGAGATTCATCTTGTGTTGTCATTTTCCCAATTCTGAACACGACCACCTACTATTATGAAGCACTGATAGAGAACGAGGAAGTTAATGCTGATTTTTCTTTGGGCCTAAGAGGGGTAAGACTAGTCTGCGGAACTGCAGACGGCGGAACCGGCGGAACCTACAGAACCTA